CTCTCTCGGTTGATTCGCAATGGGCAACGTAAAATTCAGCATCTTGTAATTTTAGCGGTATGGGCAGAGATTAAGAGAAGGGACCGGGTGAGTCTGCCATCTTCCTATCTCATTTGCTTTGCACATACCTGCTGCGATGCCTGTAACACTGTAAGTGTGCAACCATTGAATTTTGCACTAGAGAAAAAAATTTTAAACGTGAAATATTGAAAAGCTGCTCTTTGATGGACATAATCCCTGACTGAACTGCATGGAGGGAGAACTTGCTTATTTGCAATGCCCAAAACGCCTGCAATTTAAAAAGTTTATTATGATGTACTGTCCTAGAACTAACTGCCCTGGGCCTTAATGCCAACTCTGATGGCCAGAGCCAAAAGATTGCAAAATACAAACATGTTTCACTTCCATTATTTAGGCACATATTAGCTAATGCAAAGGTGACATTAAAAAGTACATTAACATATTTTACTAAGCCAGGAGTTTAACAGTCTTATTTCAAAAAAGACAGTTCCTCCCCCCCTCCCCCAAATGTACAAGGGTTCCTTTCAATGCAATTTTTTAAATGGCTACCAAAATCAACCAGTTAAATATGAAAACTACTCATTCCCTCCAAATAATGTAATGCCAGTGCTACAATATATTGCAAAAAGTTGCACATAGAAAAATTTAATACTTAACTTACAATGCAATATGAGGGGGGCTGTTTTCTTAAGGCATTTGTATTCCCTTAAAATTCTAGACTCTGTAAGCAGTTTCCTATTTCTAAAGAGCCAACATTAACTTGAAATTCTTATGTCCAATAATAATTTGTGCATTTACAGGTATATGAAGTAGCTGCTAAGTGAAAGGACATTACCTGGTAATTTGACAGGAAAAGAGTCCATAGACAGTCTGTAAACCAATTAAACATAAACATCTGATGCACATTTTCTACTGAAAGAAAAGCAAGGGAAAGAAGAGAAAGGAAAACTTTAAGGTTCCCAAATCTACAAACAATTTTTACCATTAACTGTATTGTACAGTATTTTCATTGTATTTTTTAGAATACTTATATAAAAGTGTTTTTCAGGATTCCTTGGGGGAGGGAATATGTTAGCATAGATATATAGTTTCTAAGTTACCTACCCTGTTGAATGACCTTAATCCTAGGACTCAAAATAAAAATGGCTTTTTAAAGTCAGTTCATAGTCACATCATTTTCACTTTGAGATGTTTGATGGAAACAGCTAAAGGCAAAGAACAGTGGATATGCATAGACTTTAGGTGGGTAAAGACAAAAAATAATGAGGGGCCTTGAGGTAGAAACTCAGGCTTTATAATACCATGGTGATAAAGGAGGATTTTCCATTTAAATGTGAAAGCTAATATATGAAATTTATGTAGCTGGTTACCAAAAGAATTTTAAAGCATTGTCAAAAATGCAAGGTACAGGAATAATTTGCGTGCGTAAGGCCCATTTAAACTCTGATTCTTCAGTTAAACCTCAACAAAATCCCAACTGATAAAAAGCCAGGGATCACAGCCTCTTAAGCTACTTAATGAATTCTGAAGTTGTCAAGAAAATCAAGGTCTGAGAAATACTTGAATGGGTATCTATCTACTGACAAGTGACCTTTACGTTTATTAATACTATGTATTACTTTTACTAATTTTAAGTGGCATTATGGTATAGAGGAAAAACATTCCCTCTACATTTTTCTTCTTCCCGTCTTTATAAAGGTGGGTTCAATGTTTTGGTTTTTTTAGGTTCAGAGATTCCAAAAGTAAAGAGAAACAGCTCCAGTATTTTAAGTCATCAGTAACATGTGACTACTATATTCAATACAATCTATTTCCATTTTATTCTAGTGATATATCTTTACAAATTTTAGGAGCCACCTTAAGGAAAGTCTTTTTCAAAACTCTTCCTACCTCTTCAATATCAAATATGTAAAAATTAAGTATTCATTAGCCATAGAATCTTGGTGTTGGATGGGACCTAGAAGGTCCTTTGGTATATTTCTCCCCTATCTAGGTAGGAATCCCTTACTATGTTTCCCCACTCATTACCTGGCTTTTCTGCCTACACCTCCAATGACTCACTGTGTCATGAAGAAGCTGCTCTTTAAAAAAATAAAACTCTAATTTTGGGGACATTCTTTTTATTAATCCAGTATCTACCTCTGTGTTACTTCCGTTACTCTGAGTTCTTCAGCACTTTGGATTAATACAACAGATGTCTTCTTTGTATTCAAATGCAAACAGTCAATATTTATACTTGGGTTAACAAAAAATAAATGTTGAAAGTCTACTTATACTAGAAGAGCTGAAAACAGGACATGACAGAATTAAAGGCATGAGAAAACTCACCAATATCTATGAGTTGCGTAAAAATATTATGGTTTACAGTATTTATTAATGTGATATTCAAAATGGTCGTTCTGTTAATTGAAGTATTATGTTTAAAATTAAACTAAAAAGTGTGGTTAATTACAATTTTATGTGAAGTTTGTGGCTAATGTCCCAAAACAAACAAAAACTTCACTATACAAAGCCTGAATAAATGCCTCTTTAGCTCCCATTCCCCACCTAAAGGCTTTCTATTTTCAGGGAAACTAACATTAACTTTTACTACATTAAGCTGTTCAAAACTGCTATTATATTGGAAAATTATTTTAAAGCAATTTACTGAATGCTCCATTAAAAAGTTATTAAACAATTTTATAGAAGCTATAATACACAAGAACCACTCAGAGTTATTTTGTTAACAAAAGCATTTTACGGTCACAATTTTACTTCAACCAATACCTTAAAATAACCAATAAGTAAACTTCTTTGGCAGTTTACATATCCTAAGAAATACCTTTTATTCAATACCAATACCTGATTCAAATATAAGTAATATATACCCATATGTATAAACTGTTATGCAATTCAAAAGGTACCTCTCAAAATGCACCAAAAAAATTTTGTAACAACTTAGACTCCGGGGCTGTTTGAATGAAACAGATTAATGCAACATATTCAAGACCCTAAAACCAAATCTATATCTAATAATTTTCAGAGTCCCTGAGTGCCTTTTGAGATTTTGTAATTATTTCCTAAATTTTTTGTTTAAAAGTGACAGCCTACACATTATATGCAGGTAAAAAATTTATGGATAATCACTAATTTGGTTGAAAATACCCTCCCCTCCCCCCAAAAAAAACCCCACCTATTTTTAAAAACGACATTTTCGATAAAGGCTGAGAGTTTACCTTTACTTTGTTTAGTAGGCAAGATGCAGGTTACAAAGCAGTAATGCATTACATTTGGAAGCCCCTCATCTATTCGACAATCAGCATCAGCATCCGGATGTTAGTTTGATTTTTATTGTTAACGCCAGCCCAAGACACACCTTTTGGTTCTTCAAGGAACAGTTTAGGCTTTTCTTCTCATAATGTTTACATAAAAGAGTTTTACCCAGTGGCCCTATTTTATCAGACTATCACGAACTGATATTTTTATAGCTCTTAAACTGTTGACATGTTATTTTTATTTCACCCAAACTCGAAATTTTTGGCCTATCAGCAGTTCTCAACACGGGAACATATAAGAACAATATACTGACAGTACTTGAGGGAGTTTGGATTTTCCCTCCCTTAATCTCCAAGTGTGCCCCTGCCTACCAGCATCACATCCGTCTTGTCTGCATTGAACCTCAACCAGTTGGTTCTTAACCACGTCCGTAACTCAGCCAGGCACTGGGAGAATCGAGCCACCACACCATCTGGATCAAAGGAAAGAGAGCCTCAGTAGTAACCTGACCAGAGACCATGATACCACAAGCTCACCATTCACCCTGTCTCTAATTTTTAAAAGAGATGTCCAGGAATTGGGAGAAGGATCTCACGACCATTTTTGAGAACATGAGCGAATCTTGAGTCATACAATTTGTAACCAACGTTAAAAGAATAAAAGCGACTCAATTACATAGATCAACTCATTCCACCCATGAATGAAGAAAGAAGGTTCAGTCAACTCCAGATTATCTCGGCTGAGCGGCCTCAGGAGACCGGCCAGTCCTAAGTTTTTCTGCAAAATTAAGAATTTTAGCGTTGGCGAAAGCTTTAGGGATAACTGCGGCCCAGAAAGGGGTAGTGACTCGCTCAAGGTCACCCAGCAAGCGAGGACCAGAGAGAAGCTACAGGCCAGAGATCTTTCCATGAAAAGCTGGGAGAACAAGGCCAAAGGAAGGGGAGGCATCTGTCCCCAGGAATCCTCCCAGCGGCTGGGAGCGCCTCGGTCCCTCCCAACAGTGCCCTCTTGGAGTCTCTCTTCCCTCCCTCACTCCCTCTAGAAAGAGATGGTTTGCCCAGGACCCTGCTCACCACCAGGGCTGCAGGGCGAGCAGGAGCCTCCCCCGGGCTGGGACCGAACCCCAAGATGCTGGGGAAAAGAGGCGGAGCCACAGAGGGGAGGGCAGCTTAGCCCCACCCCGACCTGGACTGGAGGCCGACAGGAGAAAGGGGCGGAGGCGATCAGGGTCAGGCACACTCACGCCGCTGCGGATTCCCAGCCAGCCAGCCAGCCGCGGGCACTGCCAAAGCAAAAGACCGGGCTGGGGGGGGGGGGGGGCGGAGGGGAGCTGCGCATGCGCCACGGCGGCTCGCGCCCCTGCGGGAGGGAAGCGGGCGGCAGCCCCTCCCCGGAAGTTCAGGGTCTTCCGGGCGGTACTCTGCGGTGGGGGAGGGGAAGGAGAGAAAGGGGACAGAGGACACCTCGGGAGCCCCTCGTTCCAAAAAGGACCAGGAGAGGGGAGGTGGTTTATGGAGGCTGCACTTACAGCCGCTGCCGCCGCCACCGCCGCCACCTTCGCTGCAGCCGCCACCGCCTGGAGAAGCCCCATCCATCCGCCTGCAGCCGGGGAGACTCCGAGCCTGGGAGGGGCCTGGGGCCGGGGCCGCCCGCCTCCTTCTTCTAGTCGTCTCCCCGAGCTTCCTCCTGCTCCACCAACCCTCTGCCCTCCCCTCCGCCTCCGCCCTCCTCCTCGGCCTCCAGCCGCCAGCCAACCGCGCGGCCGCTTGTTGAGCCCGGGCTCCACCGTCTCCATGACGCCCGGCAAACATTCCGGTGCTTCAGCCCTCGCCGCTAACGCCCGGGGTTGGGGTGCAGGGGCTCCCGGAGCCGGCGGGGAAAGGGGTGCTCGGCCACTCCCCAGCCCGTCGCCACCATGCCCGGCACTCCGATAGACTACTACAGGAAGCCGAGCGGCGCATCGTAAGTTCCGGCGAGGAAACCTTAGTCCGGCCCTCCGGTTCGCGGAGGGAAGGAACCTCTAGCTGCAGCTGGGTTCAATCAGCAGCATCGGAAGCCTGCAGGCGGCCGTGTCCCTCCTTCCTGGGCCCAGCACAGGCAGCCTTTTCCAGACCCCCTCCGGCCGTGCTCGCCCCATGAGAAAAGGCCGCGTTGGTGGAGAGCCATCCTGCTAGCACTCCTCCGGTTTTTTCCGCCCTGCCGGCTCAAGCTAGTTGCCCACGAGCTGTGCCTTCGGTTTTTTCCTGCCCCCACCTCATACCCTCCTGCCCTAAGCTCATTCCTGCTTACAGCATTCTAGCGGTCCTGCAGCCGGTGAATGACAGGCCGGAGAAAAGCGCACAGCAGCTCCGGGGGCTCCCTCAGCGCTGCTCAGCAGTGCCGCCCAAGTTCCCCGATTAGCTCCCTCTCCCATACTTCCAGGCCCCTTTTCTTCTCTCTCCCCAAATTTTGAACATCTCTCCAATCTCCTCCAGCTCGGCTCATTTTCCTTTAGCAGAACTTGTTGAATATATATATATATATATATATATATTTTTTTTTTTTTTTTTGGAGAGAACCTTGCGTTCTCTTTTGAATATGATACTCAAGATTTTTGCCCATTCTACCGCCCCAGCAGAATAGCTTTCGTAAAGGTCCACAGCAGTAGCTGCTGCCCAGCAATATTCAGTGGCTATGTCTGTTTCATTCTCAACTCACGCAGCAGCAGCTTTGATCTGGTTTGTCACTTCTTGAGGTTTCTAGGACAACACCACTCGTCCCTTGTTCTCCCCTTGGTTTATGAGTACTTTTCTCTAAATACTTTGCTGTTACTTCTTCATTTCTCCCGTGTCTAAATATCGGAGTGTTGCTGGGGTCAGTCTTTTTTTCATTATCATGCCTTTAAAAATCACCTATACACTGATGATTCGCAAGTTTATATCGCTAGCCAACACACTGATGATTCGCAAGTTTATATCGCTAGCCAACACTTCTCCCAAGAAAACAGACTTTTAAAAAAGCAAATATTTGCCCTTAGAAGTTAATAAGACATCTCAAAATTTATATCCAAAACTGAACTTAATTTTCTAACCAACTCTTTAATAAAATGGCAACTTCTCTTTCAGTTCGTTAAAAGCCTTGGAGTTGCCCTCGACATCTCTAACATCCACTCCATCAGCAGCTTCTACCATTCCTACCTGAAAAATGAATCCAGGCTTACCATTCCGATGTAAGCCACAGTAACACTGCAGTAACCACATAAACGGTCTTACCGACGCCCACATTACAGTGATAACCGGCTCTTTCCAAAACCATCTTCTGGCTCCCATTGCACTCAGAGTGGAAACACTACTTACAGTGTCTCACCGTGGACTCTTCCTCTTGATTAATTACACTCACTGTTGTTCCACAGTAATAGCAGGCACCGTATTTCCCCAATTCAGAGTGTGTACATTTGCTGTCTTTTGGAATAGTGTACCCCTAGATAACCTCAGGATTCATTTCTTTACATGTCACTTTATCAAAGAATTCACTAATGTGTGTGTGTATAATACTTCCTCCTCCACATTGCTTTATTTTTCTCCATAAAACAAGTAAACCTACTTGGTATTTGGTATACTTGTTTGTTAATCTGCCTCACCCAAGCTATGGTACTCCATGGGAGCAGAGACTTTTGTTTTGTTCACTGCTATTGCCTAGAAGAAAGAAAGTGCCCAATAAATATTTGTTGACTGAACAAATGAATGAATCAGTTTGTACTTTAGTGACTGGTTACTCGTCTGGTTTTTGTTTTTACTTGAAGGTATGGAAATCTCAAAGTAAAATTGAGTAGAGTTCATGTAATTTTTAAAGTCATACAACTCTCATAGTAGCTGAGATAGTTAGAAAAATTCCCTTGGGAATTTCTTAAATAATGACAAATTCATAGAAGATTACCTGTTAAGGAAAGAATTAGGTGGGAGATGGGAAATAGTATAACCTTAACTTTTTGAGTTAGCCATGTTGTATAATTAAAATTTGACAGACACAAGTTTACAATGGTTTGACCTAATACATATGTTATTTCTCATCTTTCTTTTAGGATTTAATCCTGATCTTGGAAAGGATCACATGAAACATTAATTTTTCACTTTCACTTTTTCACTCCAAATTTTCTTATTTTGAGTCTTTCCTATTTGGCTTAACAATATTGGACATTCTCTTTTAAAAAATACCAGTAATTAATTGTTCAATGCTTTTATCCCATTTCTCTGCTCAGTTTCTCTATTCTACTAACTCAGCCGTGGGCAAACTACAGCCCGCGGGCCCGGATCCGGCCCGTTTGAAATGAATAAAACTAAAAAAAAGCAAAAACGTACCCTTTTATGTAATGATGTTTACTTTGAATTTATATTAGTTCACACAAACACTCCATCCATGCTTTTGTTCCTGCCCTCCGGTCCAGTTTAAGAACCCATTGTGGCCCTCGAGTCAAAAAGTTTGCCCACCCCTGTACTAACTTCTTGGTTTATTCATTTTCTTTGATTTTTTAGAATTTTCATCTTTTGAGCATGTTATCTAGTTTTTCCATTAGAATCTTAAACTCAATCCCTGGTGGAGGGCATGCAGGAGGCAGCCTATTGATGTTTAACTCTCACATCAATGTTTCTCTCTCCTTCCTCTCTGAAATCAATAAAAATATTTTAAAAAAATTAAGTCCCTGCTTTAGCAAACTTAAGAGTGTAGAGCTACCTGGCCTCTGGTATCATGACTATTCTTTAGACAAAGTGATTTTCAGAGTGGTTATCTCCTCCTGAAATCATCTTATTGCCCACTAATTTGCCTCTTGAGAACATTTGTTTTCTAACATAATTACACATGTATTATAAATTTCTAATATAATTGAAAGGAATTTCAATTTCTTTTAAAAAGTAGTCTGTACTTTCTCTAATTTCTCAATGTAGTAGGCAGAGTGCTATTTGCTGGGGCTATAAAAGGTGGACATGATAAACATGGTTTCTGTGCAGTAGGAGAAGAGAAGGTAGAACTGGATTATAGTGAATTATGAAGCAAACTAGAGGCCCGATGCATGAAGATTCATGCAAGAATGGGCCTTTCTTCCCCTGGCTGCGGGCACTGCCATAGCTCCAGCCGGAGCCGCCTTTCTGCCTTCACTCTGGCCCAGAGCCGCCTTTCCGCCTTCCCATGCTGCCCAGAGGCCCGGAGCGGCTGGGGCGGTGCAGAACGCCCTGCAGCGCCTGTGTATGCAAATTGACCTGCCATCTTTTGGGGTTAATTTGCATACTCACTCCTGATTGGCTGGTAGGCCCCATGAACATATGGTCAATTTGCATATTTCTCTTTTATTAGTATAAATAAGAGGAGTAAGGAAGTAGCCAGTATAATTGTCTAATGTTTTAAAAAGTTAGACTATGAAAGAAGGAGAAATGTAGTAATGGATAGAGGAAGACTTAGCTAAAGGAAAGATTTTTAAGTTTAGGGGATGACTGAAGCATAATTATATGCTAGGGTGAAAAGATATGAAATAAAATGTAGGAGACAGGGAATTATTGATGGAGAAGTATCCCTGAGAAAGTAGTAAGAGACAAGTTTCAAAGCCTAGGTAGAAAGTGGCCTGAGAGAATGGCAACTGTTTTACTGAAAGAGGAAGAAATTTGAGTTTAGGTTTATTTGAGTTTGTAGGATGAGGAAGAAGAATATAATGAAGGTGGAAAAATAATTTAAGGAGGTTTTACTTGATTATTTTTATTTTCTTAGAGATGTTGAAGGTAAAGTCCTTTAGAGACTGAAGGGGGGAGGACAGATAGAATACTTTAAAAAGATATAGCATGAATAGCCGAAACCGGTTTGGCTCAGTGGATAGAGCGTCGGCCTGCGGACTGAAAGGTCCCGGGTTCGATTCCGGTCAAGGGCATGTACCTGGGTTGCGGGCACATCCCCAGTGGGGAGTGTGCAGGAGGTAGCTGGTCGATGTTTCTCTCTCATCGATGTTTCTAACTCTCTATCTCTCTCTCCTTTCCTCTCTGTAAAAACTCAATAAAAATATATTAAAAAAAAAAATAAAAAAATAAAAATAAAAAGATATAGCATGAATGGAATTCACTTAGTCATTTGTTTTTTAAAAATGCTTATTTTGTGCCCACAACATACTGGGCACTGTCCTTTGTATTAGGGATATAGCAATGAACAAGACAAAAGTTTTTGCCCTAAACATGCTTATATTTTAGTAGAGGAATGGACAACAACAAAGTGTGAAGTAGTAATAAATGTACTAATGTCTTTAAAAATATTTTATTGTACTGTGATCATTTATGATTTGAAAGTAAAACTATCATTAAAAACATTTTCTTTTGCCAGTACAGGAATGGCTTAGTGCTTGAGCATCAACCTATGAACCAGGAGGTGATGGTTCAATGCCCGGTCAGGGCACATGCCCAGATTGCAGGCTCTATCCCCAGTGTGGGTTGTGCCAGAGGCAGCCAATCAATGATTCTCATCATTGATGTTTCTATTTCTCTCCCTCTCTGAAATCAATAAAAATATATATATTTTAAAAGTTTTCTTGACCATCTACTTCCTTTTTAAAATCTAAGGGCAGATCGTCCTTATTTTATAGAAATCCAAAGTATAATCAGAGTACTAGAATGAATGATAAGGTAGGTTTTTGTCTTAGGGAACTTGCAGAGTAGATCCAAAAGTAAAATCATATTTTTTCTCCAGGTCATATACATTTTGATGATAACTTCTCTTCTTATTAAAATTATTATATAATTGTTCAGGCAGGTTTATACTTATGCTGTAATCTGCCTATGTAACTGCACTCTACACTCATTTGTGCTTACTACATGTCAGACACTTCCTAACTATAACATAAATTATTTTAATCCTCAAATAACCTATGAATTAGAAACTATTATCCCCATTATATAGATAAGGGAACAGACCCAGAGAAATTAGTGTGGACTTTGGATCTGACTACCTGGGTTTAAATTTCAACTCTACTAGAAATGTTTCCCTCTAAAGTTCTGTGATTTCATATAACTAGTATAAATAATAGTAATAGTAACCTCATAGAGTTGTGTGGAAAATTTGACATAATGCATATAAACATTCTAGATCTATTCTTACACATAATGAGCTTTTAAGTAGTAGTAATAGTAGTATTTCTCATATGTTTAAATTTTTTTCATGTTTCTAATTAAAGTCTCTTTTTAGTGTTGGTTAGTTTTTCTTCAATTGTGGATCCTCTATATTATTTTCTTTTCTTGGTATAGGAACTTAGGCAGTCCAAAAAAGAAGTCTTTTACTGCCCTTTCTAGCCCAGGAAAAGGAGCTCAAACAAAAGGATATCTTGGTGTGACCCCAAGCAGAATGGGCTCATCAAAAATCATGGCGGCATTACCAGAGATAAAAACAGATAAAATGACTACCATAAAGGCAGCCATACAGGTAATATTCTCTTTTTTCCCCCCAATATATTTTTATTGTTTTCAGAGAGGAAGGGAGAGGGAGAGAAAGAGAGAAAGATTAATGATGAGAGAATCATTGATCAGCAGCCTCCTGCATGCTCCCTACTGGTGATTGAGCCCGAAACCCAGGCATGTGCCCTTGGCCGGAATCAAACTTGGGACTCTTCACTCCACAGACTGACACTCTATCCACTGAGCGAAACCAGCTAGGGCAGTAATATTCTTTAGAATTCTGAGTTTATTTGAAAAAGACACCTTGAAGAACTTGAAGACATGTTAAAGGTAGAAAATATGCTGCTTTGAAATAATCACTCCTAATATTGATATATTGATTTAATTAGTCTTTACCACATAACATATTTTACAGTATAATATTGGCAGTTACCGCCTATAATTCATTATTGGTAATAATATTAGAGTGGAAAGAGGAAAGTCTACTTGTGACCTTAAGAATTAGTTGGTTTGATAGTAATTGTGACTAATCTAGCTATAATACAGATAGTACAACTGCTATCCCCTCTTTGCAGTGTACTCTAGAAAAGTTCATTAAATGAATTGTCATAAAATAGGTTTTCTATCTCATTAGAGGACTTATTAAGAATTGCTTTTTAAGAAGTAACACCAATCCTCCTCAGACTGTTCCAAAAAATTCAAGAGGAAGGCACACTTCCAAGCTCTTTCTATGAAGCCAGCAGTACTCTAATCCCAAAACCAGATAAAGACACTACAAAGAAAGAGAATTACAGATTACAGGCCAATATCCCTGGTGAACATAGATCCTCAACAAAATATTAGCAAATCACATCCAGCAATACATTAAAAAGATCATATACCATGACCAAGTGGTATTTGTTTTGGGGATGCAAGGCTGATACATCACATAACTTGAAAGACAAAAAACACATGATCATATCAATTGATGCACAAAAGCATTTGACAAAATCCAACACCTTTTTTTGATAAAAACTTGCAGCAAAGTGGGAATAAAGGGATCATACCTGAATGTAATAAAGGCCATATATGACAGACCTACAGCCAACATCATCCTCAGTGGGCAAAAACTAAAACCATTTCCCCTAAGGACAGGAGCAAAACAGGGAGGCCCACTTTCACCACTCCTGTTTGACGTAGTATTGGAAGTGCTAGCCATAGTGATCAGACAAGCAAAAGAAAGAAATTATATCCAGATTGGAAAAGAAGAAGTAAAACTGTCATTATTTGCAGGTGACATGATATTGTACACAGAAAACCCTAAAAACTCCATTGAAAAACTACTAGATTTAATAAATGAAGTTGCAATATATCAGGATACAAAATTAACACCCAGAAATCTACAGCATTTTTTATACCAATAATGAACTCACAGAAAGAGAAACTAGAAAGACAATCCCATTTACCATTGCAACAAAAAAAATTAAGATACCTAGGAATAGACTTAACTAAGGAGGTAAAAGACATGTATTTGGAAAACTACAGGACATTGAAAAAAGAGAGGAAGATATAAACAAGTGGAAGAATATACCCTGTTCATGGATTGGTAGAATTAACATCATTAAAATGACCATTCTAGACAAAGCAATCTATAGATTCAATGCAATCCCCATTAAAATACAGCATATTTCACAGACCTAGAACAAACTTTCCAAAAATTATATGGAATAATAATAGAAAAATTAATAGCTGCAACAATCTTGAGAAAGAAGAACAAAGTTGTAGGGATCACAATACCAGATATCAAGCTATATTACAAAGCTACTGTTCTCAAAACTGCCTGTTACTGGCACAAGAACAGACATATAGACCAATGGAACAGAAGAGATAACCCAGAAATCAACCCAAGCCATTATGCTCAATTGATATTTGACAAAGAAGGTCAGAGCATGCAATGGAGTCGAAATAGTCTATTCAATAAATGGTGTTGGGAAAATTGAACAGATACATGCAAAAAAGGAAACTAGATCACCAACTATACCATACACAAAAATAAACTCAAAATGGATCAAAGACTTAAGTGTAAGATGGAAAACCATAAAAATCTTAGAAGAAACCATAGGCAGCAAAATATCAGATATATCTCATAGCAATATCTTTACCGATACATCTCCTAGAACAATGGAAACTAAGGAGAAAATAAACAAGTGGAACTACATCAAAATTAAAAACTTCTGCACAGCAAAAGAAACTATCAACAAAATAAGAGAGCCCACTGCATGGGAGCACATATTTGCCAATGTTACATTTAATAAGGCTTTAATCTCCAAAACTTATAGGAAACTCATACAACTTAATGAAGATAACCCAATCAAAATATGGGCAAAGGACCTAGACACTTTTTAAAAGCGGACATACAGAACCCAAAAGACATGAAAAAATGTTCAAAGTCACTAATCATCTGAGAGATGCAAATCAAAATGACAATGAGGTACCATCTCACACCTGTCAGAATGGCTATCATCAACAAATCAACAAACTACAAGTGCTGGCGAGGATGTGGAGAAAAAGGAACCCCCATGCACTGCTGGTGGTGCAGCCACTGTGGGAAACAGTGTGGAGTTTCTTCACAAAATTAAAAATGGAACTCCCATTAGACCCAGTGATCCCACTTCTAGGAATATATCCCAAGAAATCAGAAACACCAATCAGAAAGGACATATGCACCCCTATGTCCATAGCAACACAATTTACAATAGCTAAGATTTAGAAACAGCCTAATAGCCCATTAGCAGATGAGTTGATTAAAAAATAGTGATGGAAAGAAATATATATGATATACTAATCCAACAGACTACAATCATCCGTATATGAGCAAACTAAAATGCATACAACATGGAGAAATAGAAGAACGTATTGTCAAACAAAAATGACAAAATATGTCATAATACACTGAGTGGCCAGATTATTATGACCACCTGATGTTTGTAGGCAAATTAGCCGTTGACTGCATCTTATGGCATATGGAGGCTGAAGGCCTGTTTGAACACCTTTGCTGTCTGCAGTTACCAAGAGAAAACATCTCCAATTCGCACAGGAACACAAGGATTGGACAGTCGAGCATTGGAAAAAAGTCATGTGGTCCGATGAATCAGGTTTCCAGTTGCATCATGCAGATGGCAGAGTGAGAATTTGGCGGAAACAGCATGAAAGCATGCACCCCACATGCATGAGTATAACCCTTCAAGCTGGTGGGGGCAGTGCTATGGTTTGGGGCATGTCTTCCTGGCATGATTTGGGGCCTTTAATTCATGTGGAACAACGTCTGAATAGTACAACATACCTAAGTATCATTGCTGATCAAGTTCATCCTATCATGTTGATGGCATATCCCAATGGAGATGGCTTCTTCCAACAAGACAATGCGCCATGCCACGATGCTTGTATTGTGCAGGAGTGGTTTCAAGAACACGAGGGAGACTTTACCTTGCTTAGGTGGCCCCCACAATCACCAGATCTCAATCCAGTTGAGCATTTGTGGGACGAAGTTAAAAGAGCCATCAGGCAGCTGGTTCCACAACCATCAAATCTCACAGAACTGGACAGTGCTAATCATCAGGCATGGTGTCAGATTCCTCGCATCACCTTTCAACATCTCGTGGAGTCAGTGCCAAGAAGAATCACCGCAGTATTGAAGGCAAAAGGTGGCCCAACAAAATATTGATGGGGTGGTCTAATAATCTGGCCACTCAGTGTATATGACTATATACATTTTAAAAACAGGCAAAACTAAATTACACTGACTTTCATACATTGTTGGTGGGAACCACTTGCAAAAACTTTAGCAGTATCTATTAAAGATGATTCATTACACAGAAATTCCACTCTTTGGTACATATCCAACATAAATGCATACAGCATATTTGGTAACACACATACAACAGTATTCATAGCAGCACCATTTGTAAGAGCCAAAAAAAAAAGAAAGAAAAAAGAAAAACTACAGAAATATCCGTAAACAATAGAATAGATAAATAAAATTCTGGCTATTCATAAAATGGAACAGTGTACAATAATGAAAATGAACCATCTATTAGATAATATGAATGAATCTCACAAATATAATAATGAACAAAAGAAACCAGTTCCAAAGAGTACATACTATATGCTTCCATCTAAATAAAGTTTAAGAACAAGCAAAACTACTCCATGTTATTAGAATAATTGTTACTTTTGGTGGGAAACAGTGTCTCTTATGAAAGGAACTTCTGGGATTCTGGTAATTTCCTGTTTCTAAATTTGAATACTGGGTCCATGGGTGTGTTCAGTTGTTAAGAATTTATTAAGCCACAAAAACATAATATGCAAAAATAATCTGGATGAATAATAATTTTTTTATCTTTCTGAATTTTCTCAAATTAACATATATTACTTATACATAGGTAAAACGTAAGACTTAAAAATGTATGCCTACTTTAGAAACTTTTTAAGCATAAGATCTTTTATCATTTAATTTTTCATGTTTATTCTAACCCAGAAACATTATACTTATCTCTTTTTTTCCTATTACTTTTATTTCTATTTTCTAGGACTTATTATTTAGGAACCTTATCTTTTTTACTTTTTTCATATTACCATTTTCTACAGGTGTTTGATGTAAATGGAGCTGATGTTACTCCTCGACCTCTTTACCGTCCAGATCCACATACTGGTACACCAAAGCCAAATAAACTATTGACATCACAAGATGGATCATTCTCATCAGAATTTGTACCTTCCCACAGCCTTTATCAAAATACACTAAATCCTAGTATGTTAGGGCAGTTTTCAAGGTAGAGTATACTGTTCTATACTTTTAAAAAATATTATATACATTGTCTTTTCATTTAAATTGCATATATGTAACTTCGATGTCCATTGTCTCCAGTCTCCCAGCTCCACTCTGTCATCCTAATGTGCCATCTCTATGCTCCTCTCATAATTAGGTCTAATTAGATGTAGAGCTTTGCACGTCTTAAGTTCTTGTACACTCACACCAAAACATTAGTGAAAAAAATATATAAATTTTACTCAATATTTCCTGAAAAAACAAAAGAGGGGGCTAGTATTACATACCCACAGACATATTTCTTGAGTTTCTTTTATGCTACAATTTCTGGGAAAGAGTGGCTTTTGCTCTCCTCCCTCACACCTAGTCTCCCATGCAAATCCCTGTTCTCCTAGGGTTTGATTTCTCTCTTGTTTTATAATTTTCTTTCTTATGCATTTTTTATGTAGACACTAATACACTTGAAATTTCGTGAATGCTTATAGAAAAGTTCAGATCTTTGCACTAATGAAACGGCGCATCCTAAAACAATGTAAAGATTAAAGGGGTGCCAAAACCAGTTTGGCTCAGTGGATAGAGCGTCGGCCTGCAGACTCAAGGGTCCCAGGTTCGATTCCAGTCAAGGGCATGTACCTGGGTTGCGGGCACATCCCCAGTGGGAGATGTGCAGGAGGCAGCTGATCGATGTTTCTCTCTCATCGATGTTTCTAACTCTCTATCTCTCTCCCTTCCTCTCTGTGAAAAATCAATAAAATATATTTTTAAAAAAAAAGATTAAAGGGAAATATTTGAGTGTGTAATTTTCAATCTGACAAATTAAAAGTTCCAGATGTTAACTAAGCATGAGATTTGCAGGGTCGGGGGAGTGCTCAGCAAAACAATGGATATTCCAGTAAATTTGATCCAACCATTTGGAGTGCAGTTGGGATTATAGACAGAAAGGGGTGGGAGGGGGGGAGGGGCATTTAATATCTTGGAGTAATTTTAAGTCCATATATTTAAGGAAGTTATTTTGGGATTCTTTAATATACTGATTTCCCACTGAGTACATAGATTTTCTTTTAAGTAAATCTTGAGAAAGCCTTTGTCAAAATGAATAAGTCACATTTAAGATGGGATTTGAATGATGAGCAGAAACCTGGTGAAAAATGAAAGGAAGTGTATTCTAGGCTGAGACCCTGAAGTAGGAATGCTCTATAAGATTGAGGAATAAAAAAAAAAGAAGAAAAGAAAAGAAAAAGGGAAGACAAGAGTGATACTAAAAATAGAGAGTCTAGGTAGGTGGGCTGTATTCTAGGTTTTTACCCTAAATATATTTGGAATCCATTGAAGGACTTTAGGTATAGTTTTGATATGTTATCTCTAAAATATATTTAAATGACTTACTTAAAGAATATTAGAAATCAACTTGATGTTTGAAGAACGAATTTTTATCAGTTTTGCTTATGATTATAATATAATTGGTTTCTCAACCTGTATTTTCATTTATATGTTTAATTATCCATAAGGACATCTAAGCAAATAAATAATGTTGTTATTAAAGGTCAGTTTTAGGAAGCAGTACAGTGTCTAAGTCAAGTCTATCAACTAGTGAGTCAATGGCAGAAGACCTAGAAGAAGCCTATAAACGAGAAGGACTGGCTAGTGTTACAGGTAATGAAAATACAGTTGTTTATTGCAGTAACAGACCACTATGTTCCTTTAGCACATATGCTCATTATTTTTTGGATACTTGAGATAAAAGAACTGTGGTAATGATTCCCAAATGCTCATTTGTGCAGTAGCAATATGAACATTACCAGGGTAGTAACTATCCATATAATTCTAAAAGTTCCCAAGGTGGCTGTCCTATACCACCAGCCTCAAGAATCACAGAGCATGTTTTAAAGACCTCAGCTTTTTACTCAGAGACAAATAATTCTGATACATTGCGATCAATGCTATAATAAGATACATGCTGAATATGATGGGAGCACTTAGAAAGGAAATATTAACTCCTTTGAGGTGAGAAAAAGAGAGAATGTTCACAGAGAGAACATTACTGACATTTGAATTGGGTTTTAAATATAATAGTTATTTGTGAGAACGAAGAGGAGAGGCCCGTTCCAAGCCAAGGATAAAACATGAGGTAGTGCAAAAGATTATGAAAATAAAGATAAAAGAATAAGGAAATAATGGTTGGTCAGAAGTACCAGAAGAAAGGAGTGCCTACTTGAGGGGCCATTTGCCTTGAAGTAGAGTAAGGATGTCTTTTTCTCTAAGATGATAATGAAGGATTAATGAGAATATTGATACGGTTGGGAAAGTGCTTGATGGAATCTTCTTTTTTGGTGATGGACTTTTATTTTTGGTGTAATAGGAATGCTCTTGACAAGTAACAGGATACCTAACTACCATTATTTTAGTTTATTCAAATAAAGGCTTATTTTTCCCCACATTAAAAGGAGTTAAGAGGTAGATAACTTTTGGCCTTAATTTTGTGACTTAATTATGCCACAAAGGACTCTGGATTGGCAGCTCCATTATTCTCTTTCCTTAAGCCCTTTCTTGCCTCGTGCCTCCTGGTCTCAACATATCTACCCCAGCTCTGGGTATTATCATATCCACATTAAAGACAGAAGAAAGAAAAAGGCAGTAGCACCAGTCACATCTCCCTTATCACGAAAGAAAAGATTTCCCAGAGTACTTTGTTCTTCTTGTTTATTTTTTTATTTTATCTTGTTGGTTAGAACTGTTTCACATGGCCACCCCTAGCTTCAAGAGAGTGTAGGAAACCTAAATACTTGGTGTTTCAGTCTCTGTTAAATGGAAAGAGGCAAAGAAAGGGAGAAGGACTTAGCAATGAAACTTTAGACAGCCAGCAATGTCTGTTGCAGGAGTGAAACTCATCCTCTCCGAGGGAGACCAGGACTGGGTTATTGTCATGACCACCTCCAGCCCTTTCTACACATATTCTACACATTTATGTAGGCCATGTTCATTTCCTTAAAAAAAATAACCGTCATTAGTGTTAAAAACCAATTCAAACTATTACTAATACTGTAAAAAGATCAAAGCAGTGTTTCTCATTCCTATCTCTCCAGTATCTAAGATTGAGGAGACACTACAGAGAACGCTGAAATTTTAGTTGAGGCTTCCACACATTAATATAAAAAAAAGTAAGTTTAGTATTTGTTTCTCCAGGTTATCTGTAAAGCTGTCAACAGGTACTGGTGACTCCATATTATAACTCCATTTAGTGAGCTGTGGTATGGGTAGGGTTTTCCTACTTCTGTACTTTTACTTTTAAACTATTTTTACTACAGTGCTTTATAATGTGTTTTAAAGCATTGCATTTACAAAAAGGAAAATGCTGTAAATATTGCATATTTTATGTATTTGGACCAAAAGTTTAAAAGTAATTAGACAAAAGTGGTTTTGCACCAATTTTATTATGTCAAGTAAAACCATCAGACCTACCAAAAAAAAAAAAAGTTTTGTTTTTCTAAAGCTATCCAAGTTTTACCCTTCCCTCCTTCTGGAAGAACTATTAGGAATGGAGGAGATGTGTTCTCTCCATCTCTGGAAGTAAATAAGGGCAGGTGAGGCAAATTGATAAATTTGTGTGCTTTTCCAGGTGGAGAGGGATATGCAGTCAAGATCTAATTGTACGGCCATTTTTGCTTTAGGGGATCTGGCCCATGAAATAAATTCTATAGGTATACTAGAGGCCCGGTGCATGAAATTCATGTATGGGTAGGGTCCCTAGGCCTGGCCAGTGATCAGGGCCAATCAGGGCCTTCCAGCTGCCGGCTGGGGCCTCCCTTCCCCAGCTGCTGGCTACCAGCTGGGGCCTTCCTTTGTTCCATGCTACCCCCTGGCAGTCAGCACACAACATAGGGAGCAATTGAACTCCTGGTCGAACTCCTGAGGGGACAATTTGCATATTAGGCATATATATATATATAAGTTTCAGGCAATTTCTCAGTACAAGCAACATTCAGACAATGGTTGATACAGAGATCCAGGCAAAAATCAGCAATTAAGTAGAAGATTGACTAGACTGTTACTTTCCTGGAATTAGTGGAATTAATAACTTGAATTTTTTTTTTAGGTTATAAGAAAAGTTTTTTTCTTAGGCTCTGGGACTTCTTAAGAGGAGACTGAGCCTTAGTCTGTGGAATGTGTATACCCTTAAGTTTTGTTTTTCTAAAGCTATCCAAGTTTTACCCTTCCTAAACACTCATGGATTCCTGCTTCACACCCTGTTTTTAACAGAAAACATTGAACTCTGTGTAACCTATATACTTTGTCATGACTCTTCCAACTTCCCCAGTCCTGAGTGAAATTTTTTTAAAGGAACTTGGACCTCTGGCTAGCCTAGAAGCTTGAGGCCAACCTTTTTCAATATCTTATTTGCATGGATAATAAGCCTATTTTGATCCTATATTTAACCCGAACTTCCATTGGAGAGTCTTTAGCTCCTGGTAAAGATGATTAGAGGTGGGCTGTAATCTAAATCAAAAGACAACTGATAAAAAGGACAAAGAACAAAAGGTTGTTGTAGATAAAGACTAGAAATTTGCTTAGTTTCAAAGGAAGGTTGCATATTATGTTCCCAGTTATTTAATATACTATTTTAAAGGAGCAGTTACCAAATGATTTGTATTGTGCATTTTAGAGTTACAAATTCCAAAGAAAACAACCAGAAAAACTATAACCAAAGAAGAACTAAAGAAGACTATAGACATACTACTCACCGAGACAGAAACAGTGACATTGTTTAACCTACCAACAGTCATGATTTCTGTAGAAGCTGAAGAAGCTGAAAAAATACTGTATGTATGGTTCAACTGTTTATATTGCTTCTATAATTTAAATGCAAAGACAGAGTTTCTTACTATTTTTTAAAAAATACGTTTTTATTGATTTCAGAGAGAGGAAAAGAGAGAGAGAAAAAAACATCAATGATGAGAAAGAATCATCAGTAGGTTACCTCCTGCATGCCCCCTACTAGGACTTAAGCCTGAAACCCAGGCATGTGCCCTGACTGGGAATCCAACTGTGACTTTCTGGCTCATAGGTTGACATTCAACCACTGAGCTACACCGGTTGAGTGGAGTTCTTATTCTTGTTTCTGTCCTTGGGGATTCCTGGATAAATACTGTGGTGTATGTGCCTGGTGAAATTATTTGTTACCCTATGTGTCCTGTGAAATTATACTTAAAGTGTTTATACTGTATGCACTTAAGAACCCATGGCTTTACCATATTCACTAAAAAGTAGAGGAACTACTAAGATAAGTCATAAAAGAAATAAAGAAAGCTTCCAAGTGTCAATATAGGGTTTAATGATTTTTATGCATATATAAAGGACTGAGGAGACCAAGATGGTGGCGTAGGGTGTAGACCTGTGCATGCTGCCTCCCACAACATCATTGAAACTACCAACTATAAGACAAACAACCACCATTCAGAACCATGGGGAAGTTGGCCCAGTGGAAGTTCTACAACTAGAAGGAAAGCAAGAAGCGCAGTGAGACTGAGTAGGAGCTACAGAGGCACCAAGAACATAGGTACAGAGTCGCGCGCCAGGCGGACCACAACTGGATGCGTGGTTTTTTTCAATCAGAAGGGGTTACGAACTCTCGAATTCACTGGGCTTGTCCGGGTCGGATCTCTGAGGCCCCAGGCCTCACGGGGAGAGGCAGCACAGCCTTGCAGCAATCGGAAAGCGAGGGAGGCTCTGTTGCACAGCTGCTCACCAGCCCTAGGGGACGCGAAGTCCCTGAGTCCCAGAGAGGCGAGGAGCCGGGGAAATGCCATTGCTATTTGCTCCAGCCTGGTGACTCCCTGAGACCCCGCCCTACCCAATTTACATCCCCATCCAAGCCTTGAAAGTGGCACAAAAAGACCCACCTGCGCCTTTGAAGCATAACCCAACAAATTGCAGACTTCAACTCCTCGCACCCATCAGAGATACACTCAAGAAGCAGACCCAGGAGAACCAAGATGGCGGCATAAGGTACAGACCTGTGTGTGCTGCCTCAAACAGCAACATCGAAACTACCAACTATAGGACAAAGAGCTATCATTCAGAACCATGGGAAAGCTGGCCCAGTGGAAGCTCTACAACTGGAAGGAAAGAAAGAAGAGCACTGAGACTGAGTAGGATGTGCAGAGGCACCAAGTACAGAGCCCAACCCAACAAACTTCAGATTTCAACTCCTCGCATCCAAAAGAGACACACTCAAGAAGCAGAACCAGGTTCGGAGGAAGCCAGAGCTGGACCAGGCTGGGCCGGCGACATGGAACCGCTGTATCAGCAAACGCACAAGCAGGTCCACCAGTTCCAGTCTCACATGGGACGCTGGGAGACAGCAGACAAGCAGTCTGTGCACTTAGTAGAAAACGAAATCCAAGCAAGCATACCAGATATTCAGCTACTAAGAATGCCTGGAGATATTTTCCAGCAAGGAGCAGCCCAACAAAGGATAGAATGCCAAACTTCGTGTTGTCCCGGTGAGGCCAGGACGCACTGGTGAGGTCGGGACGGCCCCGGTGAGATTGGGACGGCCCCGGTGATGTCAGAACACCCCTGGAGAGGTCGAGAGGGCCCCGGTGAGGTCAACACTGCCCCAGTGAGGTCAGGATGGCCCCGATGAGGTCGGAATGGCCCCAGTGAGGTTAAAATGGCCCCGGTGAGGTCGGGACAACCCCGGCGAGGTCGGGACGCCCAGGTGAGGTCGGGACGGCCCAGTGAGGTCGAGTCGGCCCCAGTGAAGTCGGGACGGCCCCGGTGAGGTCAGGACGGCCCCGTTGAGGCTGAAACTGCCCCGGTGAGGTTGAAACGGCCCTGGTGAGGTCGGGACAACCCCACCAAGGTCGGGACAGCCCCGGTGAGGTCGGGATGGCCCCAGCGAGGTCGGGACAGCCCTGGTGAGGTTGAAATGGCCCCAGTGAGGTTGAGACAGCTCCGGTGAGGTCGGGACGGCCCCGGTGAGGTTGGGACAACCCCGGTGAGGTCGGGATGGCCCCGGTGAGATTGGGACAGCCCTGATGAGGTTGAAACTGCCCCGGTGAGGTAGGGACAGCCATGGTGAGGTTGGGACAGCCCCGGTGAGTTCAGGACGGCCCCTGTGAGGTTGAGATGGCCCCAGTGAGGTTGAAACAGCCCCAGTGAGGTAGGGACAGCCATGGTGAGGTCGGGACAGCCCCGGTGAGGTCAAAATGGCCCCAGTGAGGTCGGGACGGCCCGGTGAGGCCGAAACGGCCCCGATGAGGTAGAGACGGCCCCGGTGAGTTCGGGATGGCCCCGGTGAGGCTGAAACGGCCCCGGTGAGGTTGAAACAGCCCCAGTGAGGTTGGAATGGCCCCGGTGAGGTTGAAATGGATAATAAAGACCAATATAAACTGATGAACAAAAATAGATGCAGAGGCAGAGCTGCATTGAACAGACTGTCAAACTACAGTGGGAAGCCTGGGAAGGGTTTGCGGGGGGGGCGTTAAAAGATCAACTGAAGGACTTATATGCATGCATATAAGAATAACGAATGGACACAAAACACTGGGGCGTAGGGGAGGCTGGGGGAAAGACAAGGGGGGGGAAAAGGAGACATATGTAATACTCTTTGTAATACTTTAAGAAATAAAAATTATTTTAAAAAAGATAAAATAGAAAGGACTGACATTTTTATATTCAAAACTTAAGGGAATATCTGTTATGGGAAAATAATTAACATTACTATATTAGAGTAGATTTTCCATTTCTCTTTATTAATGACTATAAATACACTGAGTGGCCAGATAATTATGACCAGCCAGATTGTTATGACCACCCCATCAGTACTTCATTGACTCTTCCAAAAATACTGAATATTGAAAACTTCCTAAGCAAATACTCTCAAGGTTTTATTATTATTATTATTTGCATAACTAATTCACTTCATTGTACTGATGGGGTGGTCATAATAATCTGGCTGGTCATAATAATCTGGCCACTCAGTGTAGATTACTAGTTTTTGCCTCATGTATGTTGAACCTCTGTTGTTAGGTGCATACACATTCAGGATTGTTGCCTTTGAGGAATTAACCCCTTTATCACTAGGTAATAACCAATCTTTATCTCTGACAAATTTCCTTGCTCTAAAGTCTGCTCTGTTGACATAGTTACTACAAATAACTTATTAATGTAGTTATTCAGATTATTTAGCTTCAAATATAATTTGAATATGATGCAGACTACTAAAAAATTCACTAAATTTATTTTGGGAATATTATTCTTACTCAAATATGAAATATTGTAGTGTTGTTTGCATTATAAAATATAGTACAATTAAATCTTGAATAATATACTTTTAAAATTTCATATGACTTATGCAAAAGCTACCAGGACTGAAAAAAAGGAAAGAGAAAAATAACAAAGGGATAGATAAGTGATTTGAAATCAAAGAGTGAGAGATACTAGAAGCAAATGTTATATTAACTCATAGATCTAGACTCCACCAGTAAGTCTTGGGTTCCCCCAACAAATTGAAAAAGCTAAAAGAGAGATTTTTTTTATTAAGCTCAGACCCGTTAAAGGATCTTAATTATCTCCAGTGTTCTCAGGTCAGCAGGGTCTCCTAGCCACTATGATAAGCAAGCACAAGTCTTCTCTGAAGGAAAATATACCCATTTAGGCTTTTAAGATTTCTCAGATAAGGTTTGGTAAAAGCACAGTAAAGTCACAAAGATTACCAGTTGCTTTTTAAAAGCCATTATGAATGAGAGTTAAACTAAATAAGGAACCCTAGATCTAGACCCTAACCACTAATATATTCTATATTACCAGATAGAATATAAAATATCTGTGAAATATTTAAATAAAAGATAGAGTTAAAACATTATTAACATTAAGACACTATCAAAATGATTATTTATATTTGGAAAAACATCTAAAAAGTACTTTAAAGTATGTTTATGTAATTGTTGAAATTAAAAAGTAAACACTGACTTAATTCTTATAATTAAAATACACATTAAATTTAAATAGGCCATAATAGAATATAGATTTAATAAATTGGATAGGAATACCATACAAACAAAGATCTGGATAAATTATACAAATTAAAGTTTGTAAAATATATAAAATAAAGTTTGTATAATATACAAAATAATGGGATATTAAGTATGAGAAATTTAAAAAGATATTGACAATAGAATAAAGGCCTAATGTACAGTTAGTCAGTTCCAAAAAGGTAGAATAAAAAGAATGGAGGAGAATTACTATGCAAAGAGAGTGGGTAAAGACTTACTGTTTAAAGACACCATTCTACTGAAAAAGGACTGCATTTTTAAAAAATCTAAAAAAAAAAAAAAAAGGAACTGAGTGCATTGTACTGGTGTTGTATTGAATATATAAAAACAACAACAACAAATAGTGAAAGATTTTTAAAACAGAAGAAAAAAGAAATTGCATATCATCTACAGAGAAACAATTAAACTGACAGCATTATTTGGAATAAAGAAGGTTACTTCATAATGACAGGAAGGTATAATAATTCTAAACTTGAATTTTCATAATAAAATAATCTCCAAAATATATGAAGCAAAAATTGGAAATTTGAAAAGTATCCTATTAAATTAAAATATTTAAACATACCTCTATTAATTATTGATAGGTCAACCAGATAAAAATTAGTATAGATGTAGAAAATTTGAACCAAAAATGTAATCTAATGGTTATACATAGAACTCTATATTCCACAATTGGAGAACACACACTCTTTTCAGGCACACATGGAACATTTATAAAAACCATCCATGCACAAGGCCATGAAACAGTTTCAAAAATTTCAAAGAAGTGGTAGCATGCAAAATAAATTATCTAACCATAGTGGAATGAAGATAAAAATTAGTAACAGCCCTATCTGGTTTGGCTCAGTGGATAGAGTGTCGGCCCGAGGACTGAAGGGTCCCAGGTTTGATTCCAGCCAAGGGAACATACCTGGGTTGCAGATTCCATCGCCAGCCCTGGTCAGGCGCATGTTAGAGGCAACTAGTAGATGTGTCTCTCTCACATTGGCGTTTCTCTCTCTCAGTCTCTCCCCATCCCTTCCACTCTCTCTAAAAATCAATGGAAAGGTATCGTTGGGTGAGGATTAACAACAACAAAATAACATAAATCTCAACTAAAACATAGACACACGTTTACATATACATTTGGAAGTTAACAAGTACATTCCTAAATTCTTCCTGAATCTGGAAATTTAGGGAATACTCAGAACTAAATAATTATGAAAGTAATACCTACAGGATGTTACAAAAGTAAGTAGTACATTGAGGGAAATTTATATCTTTAAGTGTTTATGTCAAAGTTTATAAAATCTATGTGGAGATAGTCTTAACATATTTTGGGTGGGCAATGAAAGAAGTAGTGATGTTGGGAGGTACAGAATAAAAAACTTCTTTTTGTTAGTTTAATAAAAGGCAATCTCTTCCTCAGGAGATTTTTGATCTCTCACTTTTTGGTGCGATCCACATTAAGAAGGTAATTTTAAGAAAATGCATAATATAAAAAGATGATATGTGTAGTAATATTAATTTTTTATTAATGAGTTAAACGTACTTTATTTTTTATAGCCAGAGAAACAAGAATTATGAGAACCTTTGTAAAAATAGATTAGGCAATGACTTATATGTTGAAAGAATGATGCAGACTATTAATGGAGCACCAAAGAATAAAGATGTTCAATGTGACAGAATTATAAAGGAAAACAAAGGTAATTTATGTTTTATTCTGCTTGATAAACTATCATGTTTTCATATACATTCTATGAGTCTATCAATTAACAAGTAAATGTTGAAGTATATAAAGCAAAAATTGGGAATAATTTGGCCAAATCACAACAGTAACTGAGTACTGTAATATACAGCTTTCGGAATTTGACAACTAAGTTAACAAGTAATAAACATAGATATAGAAGATTTAAATAACATAATTATCATTTTTCATTTTTACACAAACTGTATCATAGAACTTTGTACTCTTCAAGTGTTTATGAAATGTTATAGAAACTAATTGTTTATGTTACAAAGAATATCATGTATAACTAATAACATTTAATATGAACCAGATACTATTCTAGGCCTTTTACACTATTTTAGGCCTTTAACCGGTTTAATTCTCACAACAACCTCAGGAAGTAGGTACTATTATTATTCCCCAGTTTATAGAGGAAGAAACAAGCAAAGAGAAGTTAACTAACTTGACCAAGGTCACTCAGCTAGTACTGCAGACAAATGATACCCCTCAACAGTCTAGTTCTAGAGCCTGTTCTCTTAACTACTATCTTTTAATGTTTTTAAATTAACAACCCTGAGAACACTGCATAGTCCTAAATCTGTGAAGTGTTGCCAAAGGGGTAATTAGAAGAAAGGTTATAATCGTAATGGCCTTTGTAATTCAGCAAAACTATAAACTAGGTAGCTAGAAGGAAGAAAGCAATGCTAGGAGAATGTCCAAGGGACTTCTAAGCACCTGGGGATGTTCAATTTTGTATGGCTGGTAAGTAACTGGTATTATTAATTTCTTGACACTACACATATATGTGTTATACATTCTTCGGTGAATGGTATATATTTTACAATGAAAATTTTATTAAAATAATAAAAGACAATTTATACTAAAGAATTTGGATACAAACCAAGTAAATATTAAGGTTTTATAGATGTCTTCCTTCCCTGATTTTGTATGAAATTGAAAGAGATTTAGGAGTCAGAGAGATGGAAATCAAAATATTACCTTTATTATTGATAAAGTTAATTGAAAAATGTAGCCTTCAATCTGCAGCTAAGCGGGCTTGCTATTTCTTACCTCCAGAATAGGACTTAGCAATAGTGATTGGCACAACTAGCCAACTACAGACCTCCTGTGTAGAGGTAAGAACAGACCAGAATGAATGCTTTCTGTAAATGAGCAGGCCTAACAAGAGAATTCAGAAGTGACTGAACTGAAATTCCTTCTAAACTCTCCTACAGGATTAGTCATTTCTCTTTCCCTGGTAATGCATCAGTGAAGGACAAAGGCCAGAAGTGTTAATTTAGTGAAGTTTCTTCTGTAAAGATTCACAAAAAGTGAGGATTTTTTTCCCACTTAACAGTTATGTATGTAGTAATCTATAATAATACAAGTGTAATATGTTAATTAGACCAGACATCCTTCCAGACAACCTTCTGGACAGAGCCATGGCGACAGCGGCCAAGCCCCTTGCACGAATTTCGTGCATTGGGCCTCTAGTTTATAATAAAAGTGGCATTACAAATAAGTGGCTAATAGAATAAGTGTATTAGTGTTTCTGGCTAACTTTTGAAAATACAGTTAAATTTCATAACTTTGTAGATTTCATAAAGCCACTTTGTTTTCTATATATGATACTACAATAAAAAGTTTTTAATAAAAGTGTGTGATATGAACTCACTTTATTAAAATATACACATATTTGTTTACATACAAATACATTTATATGTGAATCTAGAAGGACATACACTGGAATGTTAGCAGTTATTATCACTGGGTGATGGACATGCAAGTCATATTTACCTTTTTTTCCTCCAAGTGACCATGTTTTCTTACTCAGATAAAAAGTAATTATTCTATAAATGTTATATAGCCAGTTGCTACTCTTTTGTAGTTTGAATTAAACTAGTAGAAAGAAACTGTTATTAAATGTATAAAAACTATTTAGGCATATCTGAGATTCAAAAATGCTCAGAACATAGGTATAGGTGGGAATACTTTTTCTAATACTAGTTAGCATAGCTTTCTTTAATAATATACAACAACATATAATTGGAAGGTTATAATTTATTATTCCATCTTGTCCATGATTTTATGGATGTGGTTTGAAGTTTTCTATTTCTTAAATTTATTCAAATGAACAAGTATAATGATGGTATCCAAAGTAAAATTACCAATGTTCTCTTCAAAGAAGAAACAATTGTAAATCACTCTAACATTTTACATTGCTCATTTATAACATGCACACTCATTTATATAGGAATTATTTTATTAGTGACCATATAACAATGTAATTCAACTTAAACTATCAGATAAAGGGGGGGGAGGTTAGGTAATTTAATATTCAAAGATGATTTCTTTCTATGATCTTTTATTTCATGAACATGGAAATTATTCCGCTTTCAATTCAGCAAAATAGACTAGGTATTTATTCTGTATATGATTTTGCTAATACTATTAAAATAAATTCAATAAGATAGAAATGTTATGAAATGTGAGTTAACATTCCTACTAATTGAAAACCTTGTTAAACCCTAGAGAGCCTTCATTTTTCATTATGAAAAAAGCTTCTAACAATGAAGTAGTTGCACTTATTAAGTCCAGATCCTGTTTTTATTTTCAGGGGGGAAATTCTTTATTAAATCCCTGTACTTTAAATGAAAGTTTAGCATGTAGGAATATATTATTATTTGGTCACTGGTGAAATACTTGCTATATAAGCCTTTCATTTTTATATCAGCAACTAAGGGTTGGGAGCTTTTTTTTGTAGACAGTGTTATATTTGCTCATTTGAATAAATATAGATAAACAAAAAATTAAAAGAGAAATTCAAAACCCTACTACTCTACCAGCTCTGTGAGAACAGGGTCTGTCATTTTCTCAATATGTATGATCTTTTCAAATAAGTATATAGAAAATTTTTTTTGGTAAAATGGAATTAGATGATTATAAATACAAAGTTCTGAGGAATATAACATCTTCTTACGTGTTAACCGTAGTAAAGGAATAGTAAACCTTGTTATAACATGACTAGAGGCCCGATGCACGAAATTCGTGCAAGGGGCTCGGCCCTTGCAGCCCTGCTTGCCCTGGCCTGCCCTTGCAGCCCCAGCTTCGTCTGAAAGGTTGTCCTGAAGGATGTCCGGAAGGTCGTTTGGCTGTCCAGTCTAAGTATCATATTACGCTTTTATTATTATAAATTGTCTGGGCTCATGTCAACTGAGAGACTGTTGATCTTCTACTGTGCCAGTTTTGGATGAAGAGAAGGGAGGTGTGGGGATCAGAAAGGATGGTAAGGCTAATTTGGAGCTACCACTAAAGTATAGGTGCTGAGAGTGTGATGCCTAAGGATCTCTTAAGGTATCTTCATGATCTATTTTTTTTAATTTTTATCCACTTCCTGCCATTGTGGTTAAATGTTTTTCCCCCCTAGACAGTAGATATCTTAGATTTTGCTATGACTAGTTATGTGTAAACTAAAATATTACAATTTTGGTTTATAGTAATTTTTACCTTGCTGTCTCTTTATTTAGGCATAATGTCTACTGCTTGGGATTTATATGATTCTTACAACACTCTGGAGCTTGCATCTTTACCAGTAAAACAATCTACAATTGACTCAAGCTGCAGAGGAAGTCTAAGACGATCTATAATTGAGTCGAGCAGTAAAGTCAGTGTACTTTCTAAAGATCAGGATCGAAGAGGGCCAGGAAGTACTATAGAAAAAAGTAAGATTTCAGTTTTTTGAATGAGGTTTTTCACATGACATTTTTAATAAATTCTTTTTTTTAGCAGTTATAATATTTTCTTTCTGTATGGAACATGAAAAGTATTTTTGTGTCTATGCTCATGAGGGATATTGGTCTATATCTTCTTTTGTACTTTCTTTGTCTTGTTTTTTGAATCCTAATGTCATACGTTGCATTAGAAATTTTCCTTTCCCTCCTATTTTCTGGAAGAGGTTGTGTAGAATTGGTGTTAATTCTTTAAATGTCTGGTGGAATTCTCCAGTAAAACCATCTGTGGCTAGAGATTTTTTGGGGGAGGCAGAGTGGGGGGGGGGGAGATGGAATTTACAATTCAATTTCATTAAATTTGCTGGCTTCTTCAGCTTTATGTTTGGAATATATGTGGCAATAAGAAAACCCAGAGAATTCACAACGGTGTCATTCCTTGGATTCTGAGGAATCCATAGCTATCTAGGTGCTCTACCTTCCACTTCCAAAGACTTTTAAAGCCTTCTCATGTTATATATATACTAGAGGCCCAGTGCATGAATTTGTGCACGGGTGGGGTCCCTCTGGGTGGCCTGCAGGGATAGGGCCGAAACCCACAATCCAACGCCACCTGTAGTTCGTACCTGCCACTCCCGCTCATCCCAGCCCCACTATGCCTGTGGCAGGCTCATGCCCAATCAGTCCTGATCAGGAGAGGCTCGCACTGCCACAGCAGCGCTCGCCAGCCATGAGCATAGCGTCTGGCACCCTCCCAAGGAGAGTGGCCTGCAGGATCAGGCTAAAACTGGCTCTCCAACATCCCCTGAAGGGTCCTGGATTTCGAGAGGGCACAGGCCAGGCTGAGGAACCCCACTGGAGCACAATTGGGCTGAGAAGGGATCGCGGAAGGGCTCCAGGGCATATCCGGCCCGTCTCGCCCAGTCCCAATCAGCTGGACCCCAGCAGCAAGCTCACCTACCCGTTGGAGCATCTGCCCCTGGTGGTCAGTGCACATCATAGTGAGCAGTTGAGCAGCCTTAGCATATCATTAGCATATTACACTTTGATTGGTTGTTCAGTTGTTTTGCCATTTGGTCTATTTGCGTATTATCCTTTTATTATATAGGATATTCCAGGATTTTTAATTGCATTTAGCAGGAGGAACAGGCAAAAATATCTGGGCCATCTTTATTGAAGCAGGATTTCCCTTTATTTGTTTTTTAAAATAAAAGTCTGCTAAATAGTGTGCTAGGCAGACTAATACTTCCCCCTAAATGTATACATCCCAATACCTGGAACGTGTAAATACCTTACCTTACATGGCAGAAGAGACTTTCCAGATCTGATTAAATAAAGGTCTTCAAAGGAGAAGATGATCTTGCATTATCCGAGTGGGCTCCATCTAGTCCCATGTATGTTAAAGTGGAGGGCCTTTCCTAGCTGTGGTCAGAGAGAGATGCAATGACAGAAGGTCAGAGAGATGTAATATTGCTGACTTTGAAGATGGGGGAAGGCTGTGGCTGGGTCCAAAGCTGGAAAAGACAAAGAAACAAATTCTCCTCTAGACTCTTCAGAAAGAGACAAAACCCTATTCACTTATTGGTTTTAGCTCAGTGAGAGCTGCATCCAAACCGCTAACCTACAGCACTCTAAGTTTGCATGTTTTTAATCCACTAAGTTTTTGATAATTTACTATAACATCAATAAAAAATTAACACAGCAGTGGTATAATATTCCTATAAAGCAACAATCAGATTGGACCTTTATCTGAAGACTGATTATCTTGTTTTAATTGGAATAAAAATGTATAGACATGAATGAAAATTACCTCATGAGGTTATCATTGCTTATCTTTTGAAAGCTAGTATACTTTTGAGTGATTGAGAATTCCAAAATGAGATAATATATGTATATCTTGCATGTGCTTGGTACATAAAAGTTATTCAACAAATGTCTCCTGAAGTTGTTGAATTCTGGAAGAAAACAAATAGTAATGACAAAATGTCATTTTTTAATATTTAGGATGAATCATCTAATATTATTTAGATTATTTTATCATTACATTATGTTTGCATTTTACAGATAGTGACGCTAGTTCTATAATGGAAATAGAAAATGCAATTCTGGCTAAAATGCATGATGAAGAAGAAGACCACTCAGAAGCAATATTCAAATCCGAAAAGTTTCACCAGGACTTATTTTTTATGGAACGAGTTCTAATGGAGAATGTATTTCAGCCCAAACTTGCAGCTTATCGTCAGCTTCCTATTTTAAAAGGTATTTTAAAAATAAAATTTAAACAAACTCAACTATTTTTAAAAATTAAATGGTGTTATTACTTCTAAGTTTAATACCGACTGGGTTATCACTTATCAGAAGATGTGTTTATGTAGCTTTCAGCAGTAAACATGCAAGTAACAGAACTCAGACTAAAGGGCCCACCGCAAGTCGTAGTTCCTTAGTTTTAAAAACTCGTAAGCATTTGTGTCTCCCTTTGCCCTGCATTAGATATCCTCTCATATTCAAATTTCTTTTTCCATTGCCTTTTATACCTCCCAGGTTCTGGCTTTTATGACCTCTTCCTAATTTTATTGCAGGGTCATTCTTCCTATTCTCATTGCTACAAATTCCATCTCACATGTTCTCAAATATTTGGAAGGATTTTAGAGATTATCTAATTTAACCTTTCAATACTTGAATGAACAAAATAAAGGCTATAGGAACTTTATAAGGTTACATAGTCTATGACAAAGCTAGGCCTTCAACCAAGATCTTTTGATTCCATTCCAATTGTTTTTTCTTTCTACCATTCTGACATGCTGATGTATCATAAACACAGGTTTGAACATGGCATTTAACTGCTAAAAAACTTCAGAACCTTCCCATGGTCTAGCATAAATTACAGACTTCGTATGTATCATACAAAGATACTTGCAATATGGCCACAGACTATTTCATCTCATGGTATGACTTTGGAGACCCTAAACGTTAGCCATTTTATACTTATCTGACAATTTGCAAACAAAACCTGAACATTCCTGCCTTACCTTTAGTTGTACTATGTTTGTCAGTCCACCCTTGTATCCATCACATCTTTGCCTATTGTATTCCCATCTTTCATGAATGCTTTAGAGCTAACTGCTTCATGAAATCTTTCTTGCTCTTTCAAGTCAAAATCAAATTTCTATATGCCTACATCAAAAAGTCAGGTTACAAAATAGCATGTGTGAGAAATGGTTGTAAACCTTTTGCTTACATATATCCAAGAATATTAAAAAACTATGTCCTTTCTTTCATATCAGTTTGATACTTAACATTTTCATAACATACATAAACTTTTAGTCCTATATTTAAAGAGTTATAAGGTTGAAATTTACTTTATACTGTGCATTTTGACATTTTAAAAACAAAACTGTTGATAGATCACTTCTTTAAATACACCTAAGAAATAAAAATACCATAGAAAAATTTTTAATGAGGTAAGATTTACACACAGTGAAATACACATATTTTAACTGTGTAGTTTGATACATTTTGAAAATATATAAACCTGTGTAACTAATACCCTAATAGAATAGAGAATATATCCATCAATCCCCAAAATTCCATTTGACCCAGTGATCCCACTTCTAGGAATATACCCCAAGAAACCAGAAATACCAATCAGAAAGGATATATGCACCCCTATGTTCATAGCAGCACAATTTACCATAGCTAAGATTTGGAAACAGCTTAAGTGCCCATCAGCAAATGAGTGGATTAGAAAACTGTGGTACATCTATACAATGGAATACTATGCTGTGGTAAAAAAGAAGGAATTCTTACCATTTGCAACAGTGGACCTGGAGAGCATTATGCTAAGCGAAATAAGCCAGTCAGAGAAAGATAAATATCACATGATCTCACTCATTTGTGGAATATAATGAACAACATAAACTGATAAATAAAAACAGCTCTAGAGACAGAAGCATCCAACAGACCATCAAACCTCAGAGGGAAGGTAGGGGAGGGTGGGGGTAAGGGACAGTGATAAACCAAAGGACTTGTATGCATGCATATAGGCCTAACCAATGGACACAGACACCAGGGGGGTGAGGGCATGAGTGGGGGACTGTGGGGGGGGGGCAATGGGACGATAAGGACACATATGTAATACCTTAATCAATAAAGAAATAAAAAGTTCCCTTGTGTGGTTTACCAGTTACAGTTTACCCCCTCTTCCCCATAGAAAGCATTCACCTGATTTCTCTCACTACTGATTAGCTGTTTTGGTATATCATATAAGTGGGTTCCTATAGTAAGTATTCTTTGGTGTCGGGCTTTTTTCATTCAACATAATGTTTTTGAGATTCATCTAGGTTGATGTGTATATAAGTAGTTTATTTTTTTCCCAAGTACTGTTCCATTTTATGAAAACACCATCATGATGTATATATTCATTCATCTGTTGATGGGTACCTAGACTGTTTCCAGTTTTGAACTCTTATGGGTAAAGCTGCTATGATCATTGTTGTGTGTATTTTTGTGGACATGTTTTCATTTCTCTTGGGTAATTACCTAGAGATGAAATTGTTGGATCATTGGGTAGAATTATGTTTAATTTTTTTTAGAAACTGAAAAATACCTTCCCACAGTACTTGTACCATCTTACAACCCACAAGCAATATAAGAGTACCGGTTGCATTATATTCTTGATAACACCTGATGTTGGCAATCTTTTTAATGCCCTAAAGGTAGTCATATTAAATACTTTTCTTGTTCTTTTTTTTTTTTGGTCATTTGTATATCTTATTTTGTGTTATGTTTGATCAAGTCCTTTGCCTACTTTAAAAATTTTTATTAATATATTTTTACTTTCAATTTTATTCTGTGCCTACTTTAATATATATATTATATATATTATAATAATATATATTAATATATATTAATATAATATATATTATATATATTATATATATTTATTATATATATATATAATTTATTTCAGAGATGAAGGGAAAGAGAAAGAGATAAAAACATCAGTGATGGAGAGAATCATTGGCCAGTTGCCTCCTGCACACCCCATACTGGGGATTGAGCCCACAACCCAGGCATGTGCCCTGACCTGGAATCTAACTGTGACCGCCTGGTTCATAGGTCAATGCTTAACCACTGAGAAACACCAGCTGAGCATATTTTCTGCCCACTTTAAAATTGAGGTTTTATTTTAAAATCAAGTTGTCAGAATGTATTTTTCTATGTTTTGGATCCAAGCTCTCCCCCCCCCTCCCCCTTTAAGAGAGAAAGGAAGGGAAAGGAGTGGGAGAGAGAGACACACACACATTGATGTGAGAGTGAAACACTGATCTGTTGCCACCTGCACAAATCAAACCTGCAGTCTGGGTATGTGCCCTGACTGGGAATCAAATCTGCCACTTATTGGTGAACAGGACAATGCTCCAACCAACTGAGCCACACTGGCTAGGCTGGATACAAACTCTGTGAAAGATACATGTATTGCAACTATCTTCTCTAAGCCTATGGCTTGCCAATATATTTGTCTTTTGATGAATTTTTTTTAATTTTGATGAGGTCTTCTCTTTCAGCTTTTTTTTTTTTGTAGTTAATGTTTTTCATGTCCTCTCCAAGAAATCTTTGCCTGTCCCAAGTTTGCAAATATCTTTAACTTGTTCCTGGACTTAGAGGGCGAGATTCAATATTTCACTGTTAAATTTGAATTAAAGTTGTTTGTAGATGCACTTTATTGATTTGAGGAAATTTCCTTCTCCTTCTAGTTTGCAAGACATTTTTAAAGATAAGTGGGTGTTGGATTTTGTCCAAATTTTTTTCTAATTAATTAAAATGGTTATATAAATTTCCTACTTTAATTTGTCAATGTAGCCAGTTACATTGCTTGATTTCAAATGCTAAAACAAATTGAATCCCTATGGTTAAGCCTCACTTGGTTATGTTGTATTATCCTTTTTATATGTTGTTATATTCAATTTTTAAATATTCTCTTAAGAATTTTGCACTGAGTTCATGTAGCATATTTCTTTTGCAATGTTTTCCTCCTATAAATCCCTTGACGGGTTTTTGTATCAGTGTTATCATAGACATATAAAATGAGTTTTGGGAGTCTTCTCTCATTCTCTATATTCCAAAAAAAATGTGTATTGCTTCTTCTTTAATTGCTTGATAAAATTTACCAGTGAACCCATCTGGAACGTAATTTTTTTTGACAGATATAGGGTTATTCAGATATTCTATTCCTATCTGTGTCAGTTTTGGTAAATTGTGTTTATGTGGTTGAAGTTATTTGCATAAAGCTATTAATAATATCCTCTCCTCAAATTCTTTTTAATATTTGTAGCTGTAGGCTTTATAGTGATATCATCTATTTAACTTTTTATATTCATTTGTGAATTTTCTTCTCCTTTTTTATTAGTCTAGTTGTCCAGTTTTTTAAGATAGAAAGTTTGTCATTGATTTCACACATTTTTTCTTATCTAAGACAGGCATTTTACATTATAAATTTACCTGTAAGTACTATATTAGCTATATCTCACACATTTTGATATCTTGTGTTTCATTATTATTCAGTTAACTTTTTATTTCTTATGTGGGTTTTCTTGACCAATAGGTTAGTTTGAGGTGTGTCTTTTTATTTTTAAGTTTTTAGTAATTTTTAAACTACCCTTTCTTTTTTAAAAATTCTCATTTGAGGATACTTTTCCATTGGTTTTTGAGAGCGTGAAAGAGAGAGGGAAAGACAGAAATATCGATGTGAGAGAAACACATTGATTGGTGCCTCTTGCATGAGTCCCAACCAGGGCCTGGGCCGGGGAGGAGTCTGCAACCAAGGTACATGTCCTTGACCGGAATCAAACCTAGGACCCTTTGGTATGCAGGCTGATGCTCTATCCACTGAGCCAAACTGGCTAGAGCTAAACTATTTTTTCCTATTGAATTCTAATTTAACATTCTGTGGTGGTCAGGGAACATATTCCATATGATTTCTATCCTTTGAAATTTATCGAAACTTGTTTTATGGCCCAGCATATGGTGACTGTTTTATACTCAAGAAGATTTTATATTCTGTTGTTATTTGGTATGGTATTTTTAAAATGTTAATTTTGTCAAATTGTTGATAGTATTTTCAATTTTTATCTTTATTGACTTTTAAAAAATATATTTTTTATTGTTGATAGTATTACAGATGTCTCCCATCCTCCCCTTTATTTATTGATGTTTTGTTGACCCTTTCTATCAATTAATGTGAGAGTAATATTTAAATCTCTAGTTAGGATTATAAATTTGTTTATATTTCCCTTTAAGTTTATTAATTTTGCTCTACATATTTGAGAGCTTTGTTATCAGGTACATTCAATCTTAAAAGTATTCTGCCTTATGGATGCTACCCTTTTTACAAATCATTATATATACTTTCATGACTAGGAAATGCCCATACTTATTCTGGTAATACTCTGTCTTGAAGCCTAATTTGTATAACATTAATATAGCCTCACTAACTTTCTTATCCTTATTATTTGCATTATCCTTATTCCTTTTACTTATAACATTTTTATTTTTATGTTTAACCTGTGTCTACTATAAACAGTATATAGTTTGGTCTTTATTTTGTTGCTCAGTCTAACATTCTGCCTTTGTGCATTTTTATCTGTGCCTCCTCAGCTAGACTGCTGTGTTTTGCTCCACTCACTTCCCAGCACGTGGTGAGGTAATGGTCCCAGGCTGAAAGTGTGCTTGACCCTGGTGTTCACAGCTGTGCAATGCCTATTGTTTAATGCCTGAAAACAGTTACCTCATATTTCAAGTACAGTTTTATATTCATTTATGGCAGGAGGGCAAGTTTAATACAGTCTGCCCATAACAACTGGAAGCTTATCACAGCCATGTGGAACCCATCATTGACCATTTTCAAAAGATGAAACAGTACTTTTACTTTTGGTTATGATGTAGATAATTACGAGACCACAGGGCATAGAGATGAATTGTAGCAAAGTATGTAGTTTTGCTACTTGATGACACACAGATATAGATAAGAGTTCAGAGAGTCTGAGATGACTGGAATTGGTGGGATAAAGAATCAGGCAGGAGGAAGCTATGAAGAGGAAAAAAAATGCATAAATCTACCATAGAGTCTTTGCCTGAAACAAAAACTGTGCATGTTGGGGTAAAATTGAGGAAAGTAAAGAACAACCACCAGGAGCTATAAAATGAACAAGTGTCAGAGTTTGCTCTGGTCTGGGAGATATTTGAGTTCTGACTGGCCAGAGGTAGAGACCTTATTGCACACCTGGGGTGTTCAGTACATATGCAGAAGAGCTACACCTTAAAAGTAGGGTTAGACTAACCCTAAAGTCTAGTTTAGGACCACCATCCCCCAACAGACAACCCTTTACAAAAAGCTTTTAAAAAATCAAGCTAATACGAAAGTAAGTTAACTGCTTTTCAAAACAAATGGAACACTGTATAAAGGAAGAAAGCACAACCCAGACTTCCAATACGGTAACATTTACAATGTACAATATTCAGCAAAAAATAAATAAATAAATAAGACTAGTTGCATGAAGAAGCAGTAACATATAAGCCACACTATAAGAAAACTCAGTCAACAAGAACATGAAAAAGTGGCCAAGATGATGGAAAAGCAGGCAAGGACTTTTAAATGGCTATTATACCCAGAATAGGCAATACAGTATTGAAGGAGAAAAACAAAGTCAGAAGACTGGCACTACTGGACTTTAAGACTTACTATATAGCTATAGTAGTTAAGACAGTGATTATTGGTGAAAGAATAGACACAAAGATCAATAGAACAGAATGGAGAGCCCAGAAATACATATACATGAATATAGTCAATTGATCTTTGATAAAGGAGGAAAGAATGCAATGAAAAAACGATATGCCGAGACCGGTTAGGCTCAGTGGATAGAGCGTCGGCCTGCGGACTGAAGGGTCCCAGGTTCGATTCCGGTCAAGGGCATTTACCTGGGTTGCGGGCATATCTCCAGTAGAAGATGTGCAGGAGGCAGATGATCGATGTTTCTCTCTCATCGATGTTTCTAACTCTCTATCTCTCTCCCTTCCTCTCTGTAGAAAATCAATAAAATATATATTTAAAAAAAAGAAAAAATTATAGTCTTTTCAACAAATAGTAGTGTAACAATTGGACATTTACATGCAAAATAAAGAATCTAGATACCCAAAAGTTAACTCAAAATGGATCATAGATCACAATGTAAAATGCAAAACCATGAAACTTGTACAAGACGACACAAGAGTATGACCTTGAGTATGATGATGATTTTTTCCCCTTATTTAACACCAAGAAATAAGAAAAAAGTGGGTACTAATATCAACACAAAATACTGTAGGGTTGCCCTAACTGGTTTGGCTCAGTGGATAGAGCTCGGCCTGTGGACTCAAGGGTCCCAGGTTCGATTCCGGTCAGGGGCATGTACTTTGGTTGTGGGCACATCCCCAGTAGGAGGTGTGCAGGAGGCAGCTGATCGATGTTTCTCTCTCATCAATGTTTCTAACTCTCTATCCCTCTCCCTTCCTCTCTGTAAAAAATCAATAAAATATATTTTTTAAAAAAATACTGTAGGGTTAGTCTAACCCTTCTGTTAACACATAGATGTTTATAACAGTTTTATTGATATACTTTTACCCAGCCCTTCTTACAACCATAAAAGAGGCACAGTGCCTAATGGACCTCTTTGCATTTTGGAGGCAGTGTATTCCTCATTTGGATGTGCTCCTCTGGCTTATTTGTTGAGTTACCTGAAAAGCTGCTAGTTTTGAGGGGTGTCCAGAAGAATAGGAGATTTTGCAACAGGGCCAGGCAGAACTATTCAAGGTACCCCCAAATGTCATTTGGGGGTACCTTGATCCACCAGATCCAATGGTGCTTGTAGTGTTGGTAGTAGATAGAGATGCTGTTTGGAGCTTTTGGCAGGGTCCTATAGATTAGAAGAAGACAATCTTATTTTTTAAAAAATATATACTTATTATTGATTTCAGAGAGGGAGAGGGAGAAAGAGAGAGAGAGAGAGAGAGAGAGAAGCATCAATGATGAGAGTGAATCATTGATAGGTTGCCTCCTGCATGCCCCACAATGGGGATTGAGCCAGAAACCCAGGCATATGCCCTAACCAGCAATAGAATCCATGACCTCCTGTTTCATAGGTAGACGCTCAACCACTAAGTTACACTGGCCAGGCGATAATCTTTTTATTTGATTTAATTTTAGAACCAAAACCTGAAGGGCCTAAAGACCTTTCAGAAGGTAAAAAACGTGAAGAGGTAGAAGAGAAGAAGGAAGAGGAAGAAGACATAGAAATAGGTGAAGAACAATCAACAATACCAGCCAATTTGGAACGACTTTGGTCCTTTTCCTGTGACTTAACCAAAGGTCTTAATGTGAGCAGCCTTGCCTGGAATAAAGCAAATCCAGTAAGTTATCTAATATTTTAACAATTCCATCTCTAGCATTTAAGAGAAATTGTCAAGTCCTAATGAATATTTTTTTAATTTAAGCAAGTATTTAAATAAACATAACCCCTAGTTTTAAAATGCCTCTAAAGAAAATTCATGATTCAAAATGAAAAACGCATATAATTATGAAAAATTTTTTCTCCTTTAATATAAATACATTATCATTTTTATCTATATATATTTCTATATTGATTGTTTGATTGATTTCAGAGAGGAAGGGAGAGAGAGATAGAAACATCAATGATGAGAGAGAATCATTGATTGGCTGCCTCCTGCACGCCCCCTACTGGGGATTGAGCCTGCAACCTGGGCATGTGTCCTTGATGGGAATCAAACCTGAAAAACATCAGTCCTCAGGCCATTGCTCTATCTACTGAGCCAAACCAGTTAGGGCACCATTTTTATCTTAATAGATGTACTTGAGACACTCTCTGAATCCATATCAGATATTGAGAAATGAAGTAGAATATAGTATATATTCGATTTATTTCAACATTTACTAAACTCAGGTATCCAGATTTGTATTTGTATTTTACTTGTATTAATACAAAAACTCTGTGAGTTAGGCTTCATGATGTTGATGAGGAAATTGAAGCACAGAAAGGATAAACAACTTGCCCAAAGTTGTACAATATAAGTAAAACAGCTGGAGTTCAAACCCAAACATCTACCTCCAGGTTTCTTGCTTTTAAATACTAATTGCTAAAAATCATCCTGAGAAAGACCATTCATTCATTAAATGAATCATCAAATTGGGGGATGGCTCATTTACTTGTAAAAAGGAAATGATTATAGAGTAAGGATACTTATTTTCTCTTGGGGTTTATAAACTGCTTCTGAAGACATGATTCTCAACTAGTTATTCCAAAATGCTTTTATGTAATGGCAATAAACATTTAGTGTATTTTTAAAGTGATCAAAACTAATTTATTGGTTTAAGTTGTATTGTATTATGTATGATTAAGAATTAGCCTTATTATTTTATTGCCACGTCTTTTAAGATGCTATGTGCAAATATGATAGTTGTTATGGTTATTAAAAAACAGAAGTTCTATAATCATTTTTGTTGAAGACTAAATAACACTGTAAAATGTATATATTTGTATTGATTTCAGAGAGGAAGGAGGAGGGAGAGAGAGATAGAAACATCAATAATGAGAGAGAATCATTGATCGGCTGCCTCCTGCACACCCACCACTGGGTATCAAGCCTGCAACTCAAGCATTTGCCCTGACCAGGAATGGAACCATGACCCCCTGGTTCATAGTTCGACACTCAGCCATGGAGCCACACTGGCTGGGCTGTATAAGATTTTTAATAAAATAAAATCCTTTTAATTTGGATTTGTCATTGTAACACTATACTTGAGAACATCTCATAGATAAGTGAGATTCAATAAATCAATAATAACTGTAATAAACACATATGAATTCTATTTAGAAACTGAATACACTAACATTTTATTTTATTGAATTTATTGTGGTGACAATGATTTATAAAATTATATAGACTTCAAGTGTACAATTCTATAATACATTATTCTGTATATTGTATTGTTTGTTCACCACCCCAAATCAAGTCTCTTTATCACCATTTACCCCTCTTTACCTTTTCTACCTCCCTCCACCCCCCATTTTCTCATATTGTTTTTTCTTAACCTCTTCACCTTTTTCACCCAGGCCTCTCCCACTGCCCCCCACAACCTCCATCCCCTCTGACAGCATTCAGTCTATTCTTCGTATCTATGAATCTGTTTCTATTTTTTTGTTTTATGTATTTTGATCATTAGATTTCACATATAAGTAAAATCATATGGTACTTGTCTTTTCCTGACTGGGTTATTTCACTTGGCATTATACTTGCCAGGTCCATCCATGCTGTTGCAAAGGGTAAGCCTTTCTTCTTTTTTATGGCCAACTTGTACTCCATTGTGTAAATATACCACAGCTTTTTAATCCACTCATCTACTGATGGACACATGGGCTGCTTCCAAATCTTGGCTTTTGTAAATAATACTGCAATGAACATAAAGGTGCATATATTCTTTCAAATCAGTGTTTCAAGCTTATTTGGACACATTCCCAGGAGTGGAATTGCAGGGTCATATGGCAGTCTGATTTTTACTTTTTTGAGGAAACTTCAGACTGCTTTCCATAGTGGCTGCACCAATCTGCATTCCCACCATCAGTGTGCAAAGATTTCCTTTTCTCCACATCCTCACCAGCAATTGTTTGCTGATTTATTGATGACAGCCATTCTGACAGGTTTAAGGTGATTTCTCATTGTGGTTATAATCTGAAATTATATCTCTGATGATTATATTGATGCTGAGCATCTTTTCATATGTCCATTGATCATCTGTATGTCCTCTTTGGAGAAGTGCATATTAAGCTCATTTGCCCATTTTTTAATTTGATTGTCTGTATTTTTGGTGTTGAGTTTTAGAAGTTCTTTACAAATTTTGAATATTAATCCTTTATCAGATGTATCATTGGTGAATATGTTCTCCCATTCAGTGGGTTGTCTTCATTTTGCAAGAGTGAAACATCGATTGGCTGCCTCTTGTGCGCCCCCTACTGGGGATCAAACCTGCAACCTGGGCATGTGCCCTGACCAGAAATCAACTGGCAACCCTTTGGTGCATGGGATGTACCCAACCAACTTAGCCACACTGGCCAGGGCAATCATTAACTTTTGTCTATTTATACTTACATAAGCATGTCTTACATAAGCATCAACTCAGGCTGCCATCATAAAATACCATAGGCTGGGTGGCGTGAATGATAGAAATTTGTTTTCTCACAGTTCTGGATGTTAGGAAGTCCAGAATCAAGGTGCCAGCTGATTTGTTCCTGGGAAGCCTCTCTTCCTGACTTGCAGATGTTTGTGTCCTCATATGGTAGAGAGGACTCTGCTGTGTCTTTCTCTTTATAAAGGCCATTGATTTTACAAGATTAGGACCCCACCCTTATGACCTCATGTTACCATAATTGCCTCCTAAAAGCCCTGTCCTTAAATATAATCACATTGGGGATTATGCGTTTTACATATGAATTTTGAGGGAGGAGACACATCATTTTATGATACCTGTCTTTACCTTAAATATCTTTATTTTACACTTAGAATGATTTGGTCATTCTAAAAAACCCAAGGGATATTATAATGTAATAATGCAGTTTTGGAAGATTATCTCAATACTAGAGGCCTGATGTGCGAAAATTCGTGCAAGAGTAGACCTTCCTTCCCCTGGCTGCCAGCACCGGGTTCCCTCTGGCACCTGAGACCTGGGCTTCCCTCCTCTGGCCGCCGGCAGGCACCCGGGACCTGTGCTGGCTTCCCTCCTGCCCCAGCTTCATCAGGAAGGACATCTGGAAGACGTCCAGTCTAATTAGCATATTATCCTTTTATTATTATAGATGTAAAGGAACTTGTTAGCAATTCATTCTTTGGGGGTACTTACTGTTTAATCTGAAAATTTGATTATCATTATAATTTTGCTTAGGAAGATGAAGGTGTAAAGTAAAATAGAGGGTATACTAGTATTTAGAAAAAGTCTTAATTGAAATGTTTTATCACTATTATAAAAACAGTTCATTAATATGCATCTTTGTACATTTGCAAATATTTATATGTCACCCTCTCTTATATTAAATGCAATTTTCTGATTTTCAGGACCTTTTGGCTGTTGGCTATGGGCATTTTGGATTTAAAGAGCAAAAAAAAGGATTGGCTTGCTGCTGGTCAATAAAGAATCCCATGGTAACCCAAACAGGATGAAGACCCACTTTTATTTAATTAAATGTTGACATGATTATAAAGCAGATAGTTGTTCAAGCAAGCCATTTTTTTTTTTTTGGTTTAAGTACATAATAATTAAAATTTGTTCTTTTTGATATAGGTTAAAGTAAATTCATTTACAAGTTCATTCAATAAATATTTATTGAGCATATACTATGTACTGTTATATCTGTTGATCCAGAGTTGAACCATTATTGTTTATCATGGCTAATTACAAAGAATGAATTTGCAAAAAAAAAAAAAATCCTTTGAAAATTACATTTCATTTAATACTGGGTTGTTTCTTAATATATGAATAACTCCTTATCACCCTATAAGATAGATTTCTGTTATCCTCAACTGATATAAAATAGGTTAATATGACCATCTTATTGCCATGAACTTTTCAAAGAGAATAAATAAGAATCAACCATTTGTGTGTGTGCATGTGTGTGTGCTAAATAGCCCCAGTCAATTTGTTACTTTATAGCTTTACATTTAGTTTTAATTCACAACTGAAATGTAAAGTAAAAAACTTAGAAAAGGATCAGAAGATCATATGAAAATAGAGTTTTTATAAATATTCCCACTTTTGTTAGAAAGATGGGTTTATATAGCATAAAAGAAAGGAAGAAGCAATTTTAAACAGGTAGAAAGATTGATAAAAGATTCATCATCAGTAGGCTGTCTTCTTTTCCAATAGGGTGTTAAAAACAAGAAAGTATTTAGATTAGACATTGAAACAAACCAATAAAATGCTTGACAGAATTTTAGGAAAGTACCTTAGTGAGTTTGGAGCAGATAGGAACGCATATGTTAGGTCATTTGTTTGGAGCCCATTATTGTTTCTTTAAGAATGTAGTCCTATATTGATCAAACAAATACTATTGAAAAGTTGCCAATATATGGTCATTATTGTAGAAGCCCATCTTGTATTTCTTAAAATTATTGAGCTCTGAGAATTCATCAAAGGGAGGGAAAGGAGGTTTTATTCTCATCTGTACTGCAACTTAGGAAGAGAAAAGTAACTTAATGTAGACTAACTCTTCTCACATCCCCACTGGCACTAGACTACACTTTAGCCATCATCAGACCCTACCTACCGTGGTGTACAAAACCAACTTTAACATGTAATATAGTATTTTTGTTTCAGTGGCCAGAACGTATTTATCAGAGTCCATATGGAGTTACTGCTGTGGATTTTTCCATTGGAACACCTAATCTTTTAGCAGTTGGCTATCACAATGGCACCATTGCAGTTTATAATGTACAGAGCAACGTTAATGTTCCAGTTCTGGATAGCAGGTGAGGATCCAAGAATTAGATAAATGTAGAATATATGCTTATTTAGAGAGAAGTAAAAATTTAATGTTATTTGGTCTTGAGTGAATGTTTACATTGTTACTGAGAATGGTACCATTATTTTTCAAACATTTAATAATTTCTCCTATTTTCTCTCCAGCTGGAATGCTTTGCCCTAATATCTCCTTTATCTTCTCTGCCCACCTCACCAACAAATTTCCTTTGGCTTGAAAGTTTTATGCTTATTCTTTTTTAAAGAAAAATTTTCTCAATTTTATTGAGGTATAACTGAAAAATTGTATATATTTAGGTTGTACACTCTGATTTTTTAAAGGTGTACAATGCGATGATTGAATATTTGTATACATTGTGAAATGACCACAATCAAATTAATTAACACATCCATCTCCTCACATAGTTACTATTTTTTGCATGTGTGGTGAGAAAACTTAAGGTTACTCTATTAGCAAACTTCAAGTATACAATACAGTATCGTTAACTATAACCACCATGCTAAATATTAGATTTCCAGAAATGACTCATCTTATAACTGAAAGTTTGTATCCTTGATTGCTGTGGTACCACCTCCTCAAGGAAACATTCCCATTTCTTTCTTTTGTGCATGCTATACACAACTTTATCACAGCACACATCATGCTGTATATAAATTGTTTATGTATATATCATTCTCCTGAGGAGGCTGTAAGCTCTTTGAGAGCAAACATTAAGTCTTGTTTATCTTTGCATACTCAATACATCCATCACATGATATCAGATATGTAACAGGATTACAGTGTTTAAGAATGAATGAATGGCCCTAACCGGGTTGGCTCAGTGGATAGAGCATCGGCCTGCGGACTGAAGAGTCCCAGGTTCGATTCCGGTCAAGGGCATGTACCTTGGTTGCGGGCACATCCCCAGTGGGGAGTGGGCAGGAGGCAGCTGAATCAATGTTTCTCTCTCATCGAAGTTTCTAACTCTCTATCCCTCTCTCTTTCTCTCTGTAAAAATCAATAAAATATATTTTTTTAAAAGAAAGAGAATGAATGTATGAATATAAATAAACAGTGCAATATACAGATGATGTATTATAGAATTGTACACTTGAAACCTATTTAATTTTATTAACCAATGTCAGCCCAATAAGTTTAATGAAAAAGAAATAGATATAGAACTCTTAAAAGGAAAAAAAATGAATAAATAAATGAGTCATATTGAGAAAATAAAAAAGTTAAAGGGGGAGGAGGATATTGAATATACTAGGTTTTTGTAATAGACCATATATCAATGGGGCAAAAATGAGGTAGAATATTTATATTAGTTTTGAGTAAACTTTGCTGGAACTGAATGGAAATAGGCATTAAAACAGAAGTACTTATGCTTAACTTTGAAATTATTTGCATAGTTTTGTAAGTGGGGGCCTTTCTGCTTATTTCCAGGAAGAGGGCCCATAAATTTTACCATAAAATCAAAGATATCTATGTTTTTAAAAAGATTCAGAACTATTATTTTGGAGAGTTCACATTAAAAAAAAATCAAGGGATTTAGTACTAGGAACAGGGCAGTCAGTAATCTGACAAGTGATTTTAAAATTCACTGAGAAGTGAATAAAACTTAAACAACTTATTCATTTAAACTACGAAAAATCCTTATAAAGATAAAGATACTTAATATTCAATATGTATAAAATAAGCTAAATTTAAACAATTTAACTAGGAAAAAATAAAAGGAATAGAATAAGTGAAATACATTTTTAAAAGAAAGGAAATAATTTGCTTTTGTATTTGTTATGAGAACCAATAGAATTAATGTAGTAACAATTTTCTTTTTAAGAAATGAGAAAATCGGCAGTGAATATTAGGTGTCAAAGTGATTATTTTTCCTGTTTTTCAAAATATTTAAATTAAAAATCCAGTTTTCAACAATAAAAGCACTCTATAAGTAGGTTATAGTGCCCTATGGTGTTGTCCTTATCACTTGTACTCTAAGTTTTTTTATTTATTTATTTTTATTTATTTATTTTTTAATTAAATCTTTATTGTTCAGGTTATTACATTAGTTACTCTTTTTTCCCACCATAACTCTGCTCCACCCAGTTCCCACCCCACCCTCCACCCTCACTCCCCACCCACTGTCCTCATCCATAGGTGCACGATTATTGTCCAATCTCTTCCCTCACCCCACACCCCTTCCCCCCCCCAAGAATAGTCAGTCCATTCCTTTTCTATTACAATCACCAGTTCATACTGTTCATCAGATTATTTATTCACTTGATTTTTAGATTCACTTGTTGATAGATGTGTATTTGTTGTTCATAATTTGTATCTTTACCTTTTTCTTCTTCTTCCTCTTCTTAAAGGATACCTTTCAGCATTTCATATAATACTGGTTTGGTGGTGATGAACTCCTTTAGCTTTTCCTTATCTGTGAAGCTCTTTATCTGACCTTCCGTTCTGAATGATAGCTTTGCTGGATAAAGTAATCTTGGTTGTAGGTTCTTGGTATTCATCACTTTGAATATTTCTTAGCACTCCCTTCTGGCCTGCAAAGTTTCTGTTGAGAAATCAGCTGACAGTCGTATGGGTATTCCCTTGTAGGTAACTGATTTTCTTTCTCTTGCTGCTTTTAGGATTCTCCCTTTTCTTTTGCTCTTGGCATTTTAATTATGATGTGTCTTGGTGTGGTCCTCTTTGGATTCCTTTTGTTTGGAATTCTCTGTGCTTCCTGTACTTGTAAGTCTATTTCTTTTACCAGGTAGGGGAAGTTTTCTGTCATTATTTCTTCAAAGAGGTTTTCAATATCTTGCTCTCTCTCTTCTTCTGGCACCCCTATAATTCTGATGTTGGTACACTTGAAGCTGTCCCAGAGGCTCCTTACACTATCTTCGTATTTTCGGATTCTTTTTTCATTTTGCTTTTCTGGTTGGGTGTTTTTTGCTTCTTCATATTTCAAATCTTTGACTTGATTCTTGTGATCCTCTGGTCTGCTGTTGGGAGTCTGTATAATGTTCTTTATTTCAGTCAGTGTATGCTTAATTTCTAATTGGTCCTTTATCACAACATCAAGGGTCTCATTAGATTTCTTGAGGATCTCACTACATTTATCGATGGTCTCACCAGTCTTTTCGAGGGCCTTATTAAATTTATCAGTGGCTTCTAGACAGTTCTTTAAAGACCTTAAAAGTGTAGTTTTGAACTCTATATCCAGGAGTTTTCTTTCCTCCAATTCTGTCGTTTGTGTCCTGTTTCTTTGTCTCGGCATTTTTTATGCTTCGCTGTGTCAATAGAGTACCTTTCTGTGCTAAGTGTCCCAATTACCTGAGGTAGACACTCTTAGTGCACCCCCTTATGGGCTTTGTGCACAGTCTTGTTGTAATTAAGCCTTGATTGTTGTAGTTATCACTGTGAGGAATTGACCTCCAGGCCAATTGGCTGTGAGAATCAGCTGTGTCTGCAGTGGGAGAACTTCTGTGCTGGAGACACCCCTCTGGGGCTAGACTTGCTTCGATGGGGCTTTGGTGCTCACTGAGTCTGCCCCCTGAGTCTGCCCCCTGAGTGTGTCTTTTATGGTTCCACGGAGCTGCAAACTGGATGGTCCCACTCTGACCTCTGGGCTTCCTGGCTCCTGGATCTCTAGGGAGGTGCTAATCTCGCCTTTTCCTGAGGCTATCCAGCAAAAGTCTCCCTGCAGGGCTTGGGCGGGGTGGGTCCCATGCGATCAACAGGGCGGGGTTAGCAATTATGGCTGCTCTCAGTCTTGCCCTCAGAGGCTCTGTTTCTCAGTGTCCCAGTAATCGCTGCAAGCCCCACGGAGAGAAAGCTGCCCTAGGGTTCTGAGCGATGCCAGACAGTCCTGCTTCTCCCATATGAGTCTGGGTCCCTAGAGACTTGCCTGGAACTGGAGCTCAGAGCCTGAGACTCCCTCCCGATTGAAAACAACAACCGCTCCCTCAGCCGCCAGCCCGCTCCGCATGCACTCCGCACCTTAGTATTTTACTTCAGCACTGCGCCTCCTCTGAGTCTCGGTATGCTTTTCTCTTTCCTCCTAGTTGTAGAACTTCCACTCAGCCAGCCTTCCTGTGGTTCTGGATGATGTCCGTTCCATCTTTTAGTTGTATTTTTGAAGTGGTTGTTCAAGGCAGCAAACTCCGGTGTTTACCTATGCCACCATCTTGGTTTCTCCCTCTAAGTCTTTTTTTTTAAAAAAAATTCTTATAATGAGTATATATTTAGTACTTTTCTCTGTTTCAGTGAATCACCTCAAAAACATTTGGAACCTATATGGCAACTACAGTGGATAGAACAAGATCGAGGAACAACAGGTGATGACAAGAGAGAAATACTAGTTTCTATATCAGCAGACGGAAGAATCGCCAAATGGATTATACGCAAAGGACTGGACTGTTATGGTAAAAAGAAAATACTACTAATAAACAGATATCAAGTTATCTTTCTCTTGTTACAGGCTGAATTAAAAATTCCTAGTAAACCATGTATAAGAGGTGAAAAATTTTGGTTTTGCTAAATAAGAAAATAAAACTGGGTTTGGTCATTTTTTTTATAAGCATCTAGTTTGGGTATTTGCTAATTTTAACCTAATCACATGCAGAAGATGGCAGAAATCATTATTTGCAGAAGGGACATATTATATCTACAATACTTTTTCATGTGATAAATAAGATATATTTTTTCTTTTTTTTTACCACTCTGAAATAATTTTAATAAACTGGTTTGGGGACAGTTTAGGATTTCAGTTGAAACTAGTTAACACTCTCAAACAACACTATTATATTTGCAAACTTAGTTTTCTAAGGCAGGAAACCTTTTCCCCTATTCTCTCCCATTACTTTTTTTCCATTTATTTATCTCTTCCCTGCCTCATTCTAAAAATTAATTCAGATGTCTATATAATTGCTTGGAATTATGGCACCAATGTAGCAGAAACAGCATATATGTATTAAATCATATGGCAATTGATTTTCTTCCCCTGGTATGTACTTGCTCCACTCACCATCCTAGCTTCCTCTAACTACTAAATACCCCAAATTGGTCCCAGGGAAAGCACTTAAAACCTTATATTTTCAGAGCCATGAAAAAACAGATCAAAGGGAGAAATCACAGTAATATCTCCCCATGAAGGAAATAAAAATCTGTGCATCTCATGATTTGAAACCCTTGGGGGACCTAAGAAATGTACTGTATTTTTTCTTTAAATAAAGATTTGATGCGTTTGAAGCGAACTACTTCCAGCATCAGCAGAAGAGGAGGGGAAAAGGAAAAGAAAGGTGAAGCTTTGATATCTCGTCAAGCTCCTGGGATGTGCTTTGCTTTTCATCCCAAGGTAAATTATTTCAATCCATGATTTACTATTGCATATAACAACTTCCAATAATGGAAGTATATTAAGATATAAAACAAGACAAAAAGTTAGCATGTTAACTAATATTGTGCCTTGTAAGTAAGAAAATAACAAACATAGCTGTCAACCAAAGGTGGTATGGCACATTCCAGTTGACTATACTCTGTCTCTATCTTCTTTCCGGAGAAAAGGTCTGTATTTCTGAGGAACTATGGCAAGATCCTCTTTACAACTGCATGTATAATGAGTGCCCCTCCTTGACCTTCTTGTCTGCTCTGCTGCTCTATTGTTCCAATAGAAACCAAACGTACCATATAGTCCTCTAGATCCTTCATGTGAGGGGTTGCTCTTACGATTCTAGGCATCAGGAAGACTACTTAACACATTGCACACCAGTAGTTTTGTTGCCAGCTTTACCCAGTGGCCAGATAAGTTTCTAGTAAACGAGTACAAAAAGGTTTTACAAAGTCTCATACTTTAAAAAGATAATAGCTTGTAAGAACATGTAATAAATAACTTCAAAATGCAATGGGTATTTAATTTTAAGGCATGCCTTTAACATTATGTAAAATACTGTGTAATATGAAACGGGAGAATGCTCGTCATCTGCCCACAATGTGTTAAGTTCCTGCTTATCAAGCCCAGAATCAAATCGAAGCACAGTTAATGAACTTCTACTTTTTAAAATTCTTTCTATCTGGAGGTTCTTTGGAATCAGAAAATTCAGCCATTATGACCCACTTCTACGAAAACATATCCTAATGTTTTCTGATATGTAATATGGTCATCTCTTTAGTGTCACCGTTGTCTACCTAAGTATGCAAACAAAACTTGAGTTCCTACTTTGTTCTATCCTAGCATCCAAATGATAGTGAAGTCTTACTGCATCACTCCTTCCAGCCCACGCTTACTCCTTGTTAATGTAGCTCAGGCCTTTGTCATGTTTCACTTTTATAACAGTGCTAGCATATTCTAACTGCCTTCATTCTCAAATTCCTGTAATCTACTTTTCACCTAACTCTACGACAGTGGTTCTCAGCGTGGGCAGGCCGGTGGGTATTTTCCCACCAGGAGACTTTTCACAATGTCGTAACACATTTTTGGTTCTTACAGCTGGAGGAGGTGGGGCGTGGGGAGGAATGCTATTGCCGTCTAGTGAACAAAGTCGAAGGATGCGGGGAAACATCCTATAAATGCATCGTGCAAGCACCATCGCCATCTCCCACCCCCAAACAAAGAATTAGCTGGCCGAAAATGTCCATTGTGCTGGGCTGAGAAGCCTAGTCTGGTGTCCTAGAAATGTTCCTTGGTGGGAGGAGTTCAAGATGATCATGTAGTCTATAAAGCGTGTCAAACTCAAAGGCTAACACGGGCCAAATAAACAAGGTCGAAGTTCATGTGGGCCGCAAAAAAACAACAGCTTCCATTTTCATTGAAACATAGGTTTATTTCGAGACATGCTGAATACAAAGGGCTGAAATAAATGAGTAATCGTTAACATAACACAATAGAACATTTTAATAAAAATTAATATTTTTTCTTGAACATGAACTTACCAGACACTGAATAACTGCACAAATTAATAAGCGTAATGCAAATAAACCTATTTTTCTTGTTCTCTGAAAGTGAAATATTTCCTGTTGTGCACAGCAAACAAGGCAGTCCAAGACTAATGATGTGGCAGTCGGCTGCTAAAATATCCGCTGCTAGTATTAGTGGAGAGAAATGGTGCGCCTGCACATAGGGCACATAAGGGAAATGAATGCAACACAATTATAGTAATCAGTCATTAGCGAATGTTGTAGTTAGTTAATAATTATGTATAACAGGATATTGTAAAAAATAAATTACAAAATTTTTATTAAAATGTTTCTTACAAACCGTTATATTAGCTGGGCTACAAAAATATTTGTTGTGGGCCATATGTGGCCCACCGGCCATGAGTTTGACATGCTTCCTGTAAATAAAGACTTTTACTTCTTCCTTTTTAATCTGGTTACCTTTTATTTCTTTTTATTGCCTGATTGCATTCATTAGAACCTCTAGCACAAGTGGGAATGGAAATGGCGAAAACAGACATCCCTGTCTAGTTCCTTATCTTAGGGAAACAGCATTCAGTCTTTTACTATTAAGTGTGATTGAGTATAATGTAAGCTGTAAGTTTACTGCAGATAGAATTAGATCCTTACTGCATCCATCATACACAAAAACACTCTTAGAAGAAAATGTAGGAGAATATCTCTATGACCTCAAAGTAGAAAAAATCTTAAACAAGGCACAAAAAAGTACCATCCTATATAATAAAAGCCTAGATGGCATCATGCACGATGCCCTCGCGCAACGTCGCCACACGATGGTCAGCAGGGGAGGGCAGTTGTGGACAAACAAGCCATCAGGGGAGGGCATTTGGGGGCAACCAGGCTGTCAGGGTAGGGTGGTTGGGGGGGACCAGGCCAGTAGGGGAGGACAGTTGGGGGCAATATCAGGCCGGCAGAGGAGGGCATTTGGGGGCAACCAGGCCAGCAGGGGAGGACAGTTGGGGGGGATCAGGCCTGCAAGGGAGGGAAGTTGGGGGCAACCAGGCCAGGAGGGGAGGGCAATTAGGGGTGACCAGGCTGGCATGGAAGGGCAGCTGGGTGCAACGAGGCCGGCAGGGGAGGGCAATTAGGAGTGCCCAGGCTGGCAGGGGAGAACAATTGAGGGCAATTGGGCCGACAGGGGAGGGCACTTGGGGATGATCGGGCCAACAGGCAGAAGCGGTTAGGGGCAATCAGGCAGGCAGGCAGGTGAGTGGTTAGGAGCCAGCAGTCCAGGATTGCAAGAGGGATGTCCGGCAGTCGGACATCCCCCAAGGGGTCCCAGATTGGAGAGGGTGCAGACTGGGCTGAGGGACATATGGCCCCCCACCCCTGTGCATGAATTTCATGCACCAGGACTCTAGTATAAATATATATATATATATATATATATATACATATATATATATATATATATTATATATAATATTTTATAATATATATATATATATATATATATATATATATATATACCAGCTACACTAAAATGAGAGCTGCTATTTACCAAAAGATACCAAAGAAAATAAAAAACCATACACTGGGAGAAGATATTTGCAACATATTTAATAAATAAAGAATATGTAATAGAACACAAACTTAAAGAAATAAATATAAAAAAGATAGATTATTAGTAAAATAGTCCAGAGATGTGAATAGAAGAGGAAATAAAAGTGTGCTCAACGTTGTTAATATTCACATACATGGCAATCTAAACCATTAGGTATAATTTTACACTTAATAAATGGCAAAATTTAAGATTTCTGATATGACCAACTGTTGAAGAGAATGTGGGTCAAAGGGAACTTTTATTTACTGCTGAATGTAAATTAATCATGGTACTTGGGGGGAGGGGGGAGGATTTTACTTTTTGTGTAATTTAAAATTGCATATGCCCCCTGATCTAGTATTTGCATTCTTAAGTACTGGCACACACTAGAACAGTGTGTCTAAAATGTTAATGTACGTATAAATTATTTGGAAATCTTGTGAAAGTGCAGATTCTGATTCAGTAGATCTGGGGTAAGGCGAGACTCTACAGTTCTGAAATGCTCCCAGGTGATTCTGACCCCACATAGTTAGGACACAGAACACTTACTTTCAGGCTTTCTAACTGTGACTTATTTCACTATAGGAAATGCATTTATTTATTTTTAAATATATTTTGATTTTTTTTTTTTTTTACAGAGAGGCAGGGAGAGGGATAGAGAGTGAGAAACATTGATGAGAGACATCGATTAGCTGCCTCCTGCACCTGCCCCCCCCCCCCCCCACTGGGGATCTGCCCACAACCAAGGTACATGCCCTTGACTGGAATCGAACCCGGGACCCCTCAGTCCGCAGGCCGATGCTCTCTCCACTGAGCCAAACCAGTTAGGGGTAGGAAATGCATTTAAAATCCTCATTTAATACATACATTTTGTTATAGATTTTTGAACTAGACACCATCTAGTTCAATTTCTCATTCCCAGCAAGAACCATTTCCTTAGCATTATATACATAAATAGCTATTATTAAGTCATCTGCCTTCTTCTTGACTTGTTCTATTGAAACTTACTATTTCCCTGGACTGCTAGTTCCAGTGAGAGATAGCTCTAAGTGTTAGAAGGTTTCTTCCTCATTTTAAGCCAAAGTTTGTCCATGTAATTTCTAGATAGGATGCTAAGTTATATCCTCTATTCCAGCAAAAAGTAAATCTATATTTTCTTTGCACAGTAGTTCTTCAAGTAGTTTAATTATTATAAAATCACGATAGAAAGAAAAAGACAACAGACAACTATCTTTAGTATTTCTAGTTTTGGTTCTTGAATTGATTTTAATATATCTTGAGTGGTCTAATCTTCTATTTAGCATATTTACTAATGTATCAAAAACCAATGCATTTTGATTTTTCGTGTTGTAGGACACAAATATCTATTTGGCTGGTACTGAAGAAGGTCACATTCACAAATGTTCTTGTTCATATAATGAACAATACCTAGATACCTACAGAGGACATAAGGTTAGTTTAATTATAGTAAGTATGGAAAATGTATCTTGAAATATTTCTGAAACAATAATATCATTATGCACAGTATTTTAAACATGCAATACATTTACACCTTCAGAGTTAAAAATATCAACTCAAAATAAGTGCTTGCTTGCGTGGAAACTCCCAGTAATGTGTGGGGCATTGTTTCTGGCTTCCAGATAGCCTCAGTTTTTCCTTGCACATTATGGAAGTCACAGGTTTTATTTGGTTCTGACTTCGCTTATAACATGCTGATCCCAAAGTAAAATTGTCTCTTGCATATCTCTGTTCTGCATATCTTTTATAATTGTTCCATCTATATTTTCTTCATTTCTTTTTTCTTAACACTCCTTATATTTTTAAGTCAGAATGTATAATATGTATTAACATTTAGTGAGTATTGTATCAACTATTTTTTAATGTTTTTGTATGGCATAATTTAGAGAAGATTCAATTTATGATGTTACTTTCAGCTAAAATACTACCCACATAATAGTGCATGGTGGATAAATCTTCTAGAAATCTTAGCATTTTAAATTTGTTGGTGAAGTTTAAAGTATCAGATATTAAATACTATTTACCAATGTGTTTTAATTTATTTTTTTAATTTAAGGGTCCAGTGTATAAAATAGCATGGAATCCGTTTTGTCATGATGTGTTCTTAAGCTGTTCTGCAGATTGGGGCGTTATTATATGGCAACAGGAAAATACCAAGCCTTTTTTGAGTTTTTACCCAACTACTTATGTTGTTTATGATGTTGCCTGGTCCCCAAAATCATCCTATATATTTGCAGCTGCAAATGAGAACAGAGTGGAGATTTGGGACCTTCACATCAGCACGTAAGTGTTAATATTTTTCTTGGGGATGTTTCTAGTAGAAGTAGGTCAAACTAAATGATACCTGAAAGTTTTGACATTGGTTACAGAGACCTGTACAGGGTGGGGCAAAAGTAGATTTACAGTTGTTCATAGGGAAAACAATGCAATGATTAGTAATAACACAAGAATAAACTCTGTGTTTTCTGTATTCACAACTGTAACCTACTTTTGCCCCACCCTGTATTTACTTTGAAACAAGTAATAGTTTATACTATGAGAGTTCTTTAAGAATAAAGATGTATGCCAGGATGCTATATTAATATTAATTACTTATATGGTTATAAACATATTTGAATGAAAATAGGTTATATTGCCCTGGCCAGTGTGGCTCAGTTAGTTGGATATAGTCTCACACACCAAAAGGTTGCCTGTTCCATTCCCAGTCAGGGCACATGCCTGGGTTGGGGCTCTATCCCCCATGTGGGACATGCCAGAGGCAGCCAGTCACTGTGTCAATGCCACATCGATGTTTCTCTCTCACCCCTCACCCTTTCTCACTCTCTAAAAATCAATAAAAATCAATAAAAAGAAAATAGGTTATATTATTCATCTCCTCAAATGATTAAATACTGATATATAATATTAAGAAGCAGTTATTTTGATTTTGAAAATGCTTAAGCTTTTTATTTTTATTGCATAAAATCACAAAAAATATTTCAGACTTCTGTAAGTCTGAATATACAAAGAACATATTAACAACAACTGAATTTACAAATAAAATATTGTATTACAGTTTGGATCCTCTAATTGTGAATGTTGCTAACCCTGGAATCAAGTTCACAACTGTTCTCTTCGCTAAACAAACAGATTGCCTTCTAGTGGGAGACAGTGACGGACAGGTTGCTGTGTATGAACTGAGAAATATGCCCACTGCTTTGTCTTCTGGCCGGGTAAGATTCAAAAGTCAAAATTTTATGTAATTGCATGATTTTATTTAGTTGCGATTTTGTGTCATACAAGGAAGGGCTTTACATTTCTTCTATCTTAAGTGTGGTGCAATGGAAAAAATATGTTACAAGAACTGCTACCTACTTGGCATGATTCCTATCTGTTCCCTGTCTATAAAATTGGAATAATGATGTTGTTGAGCATAAGATTTATAAATGTCATATGAAAGAACTTAAAATTGTACCTAATATTTACTTAGTACTTAATAACTGTTAAATATAGCTGAAAAATTTACTGAAATATATACAAAAATTTTTACAAGAAATAATATTTTTAGATATTATCCAATGTTCCTAAAATAAGCATTTGTTTCTATTGGTTTAGCATTATCCTTAGTCCCTTTCTCTGTTTTTCAAATACCAAAGCTTTGTTGTAAAACTTTGACAAGCAAAGTAATATCAAAGATGTCCATTATTTGTAAGGTAGCTTTTCAAGTTTTTCTGTTTCTTATGTTTAACTTTCTATTTTAAGCAGTAATCTGGAAAATATTACAGTAAATACAATAAACATGTTAAAAACATTAAAATATTCAGAAATCAATAAGGAAAAACACTAAGACTCCAGGAGAGAGTGGATAGTGATTGGAAACTTCATTCACAAAAAAATGACTCGTAACTTATATTTTAAAATTCAACCTCACTAATAATTAAAGAAATAAAAAAGTATTACATTAAATTAACATGTGATAGCATTCTCATATATCAAATTAACAAAGTTTTTTTTTTTTTTTTTTTTTTTAATGGGACTGCTCAGTACTGGCAAACATTTGATAAGATAGGTCCTTGGCTATACTGATGTTTAGAATAGAAATTGGCATAACTTCTTTGGAACCAAAGTAGCAATATGAGCCAAGACTATCCGCTTCTGGGACTCTATCTTGTAGAAATATTCATAAAGGCAATCAAAGAAATTAATTATAGCATTATTTGTAATTGGATTAAAAAACAAAAAGAAGGAGAAAACAACTTAAATATCCAACCAGAGAAAAATATGGCCAGGGAAGGAAGATGTGTTGATTAGATTTGGGTCACATGTAGGAGGTAGAGTTCTACTCCAACCATAACTTTATTTGACTGTAAATGCTAAATAAATAAATAAACAAATTGAAAATACATAAAAATAAATCAAAGTCACAAATTTATTTGTTAGACAATTTAATATGACAGGTTCTCTTATATATAATAACTATTTAACATACAAAATATATAGACCGAACTGGTTTGCTCAGGGGATAGAGCATCAGCCTGTAGACTGTAGGGTCCCAGGTTCGAATCCAGTCAAAAGCACATGCTCGGGTTGTGGGCTCGAACCCCAGTAGGGGGCATGCAAGAGGCAGCCAATCAATGATTCCCTCTCATCATTGATGTTTCTATCTCTCTCTCCCTTCCTATCTGAAATCAATAAAAATATATTTAAAAAAATAAAAAAGAAAATATTTATAAATTCCTTAATACAAAAATAGTAAAATTATCTGTTTAATTTGCTGCATTATTTCCATATACAATTCTTATTCTTCTGAGGGTAAAAATATGTTTTCTCAATAAAGAAACAAATGAAACATCCTAAGTAGTTTTGGAGATTATTTTCTCAACTGGCTGAGATGCATATTGACTGTAGACATTCAAAGGAATTTTCCTAACTGCTGAGCCCTGTCACACTGTTGATTTGTCATTGTCCTCCATATGGAGAAGTCTCAAAACCCTTGTCTCCTAAAGTCTAATTACATATTACTTACCTTCTCCATTTATGGAGCTCTGCAACATGTTGCTGCATCACTTGATTGATTTCTATCAAGTGATTGAAACAACCTAAATGATCATCAGTGGAGAACTGGATAAGTAAAATATAGCGCGTTCACCTGAGTGACTACAATACCAAAGTTTAATTGATGTATATTTCAACATGTCAATATGACACATTTTGAATACATAGTATTGAGCAATAAAAGCAAATTTCATGAAAGGAAGTACAAAATATGATTTTGTAATATTATTTAAACACAAAAAATAAAACTGTGTTCTTAGGTATGCTTATAGTTAGTAAATGTATAGACTGGAAGGTGGAAGACAATGTTTCATTTCTGTGTTTGGATTTGTATCATTTAGAGACATCTTTTTTTGTGTGAGCAGTATGCCATGTAAGCAGAAAGTAGGCAAAACTCAGAGCCTGAACATTTTTGGCAAACTAGTGTGTGTGTATGTGTGTTTTAATGATTTCAATGCTGGTGAGCAAAATTTTCTTTTAACAAATATATTCCATAAATTAGTAAATAAATATAGTTTCCTAATACAAATAAGTCTTTTATGCTTTTGATCATAATATTCTAAAGGTTAAAGATTATATTTCTGGGAAATTAAATTATTAATCAGTTTTTATATTACTTATTGTCAAACACAAGCTTAACTGATATAGCTCTTTTGTAGCTTTGCAGAGAATTATAACCCTAACAGTAATTTGAAGTCTCAAAGCAATTAATGCCATTGTTTTCTATCAAGATATCTTATCAAGTAATATTATGATCTATAATTTTCCCATTAATTTTAACCAAGAGTGAATAAAATTTTTGGAAGTCTTATGATTTCATTCTATAGGAAAAATCTGTACCAAATTTATGGTAAAGGCTGCCTCTGGGAAGTGAGTGCTGAGAGAAGGACAGCATTGGGTGGGCTGCAAAGGGAACTTTAATGTTATCAGTATGGTTTTATTTCTTTTATTAAAAAGTATCCAAGGCTGCCCTTGCCAGTGTTGCTCCATGGTTAGATCATTGGGTTGTGCATGGAAGGGTCATGGGTTTGATTCCTGGTCAAGGGCATATACTTGGGAGCAGGTTCAATCCCTGGCCACTTCAGGGCACATGCATGAGGTAACCAACTAATTTATCTCTCTCAGATCTCTCTCTCTCTCTCTCTCCTTCCTCTCTCTCTATCTCTCTTTCTCTCTCTCCCTTCCTCTCTCTCTCTTTCTCCTTCCCCCCTCCCTTACTCCCTACCACTCTAAAAATCAATGGAAAAAAATATCCTCAGGTGAGAATTAACAAAACAAGAAAGGTCTCCAAGGCAAAGATAACATTTGTTGGTTTGGAGTAGATAGTGTTTTCCAAAGGCCAAGTGCCAGGCAGCACACATACCACGCATGCTCAGCAGGGTTCACTGGGGAAAACCCACGGAGAAAGGATCGACAGCAGTTTAAGAGCACAGCTCCCCCGTATCCCTGCATTGCCCATCACCCTGTGTGGCAGGAGGAGGAGAAGGAGGAGAAGGATCCTTGGACTATGGAGGTTTTGAGGGACGAGATTTCTGAAACTCTGGCCCCTCCCTGATGTGATAAAAAACCAGAATACAACTGTGCTGTGACATAGCAGAACATTGGCTGCAGCCCTATCCTGTCAAGTCAGGATTCATGGTTTGGGGTAACATCAGTCTGGCGCCTGGCATGAACAGGCGCCTGGGATCCAAGCCTTGCAATTATAGCAAGTGATGCAGCCAGTTGTCAACAGGATTAACCAACACCTTAGCATTTATTGTTTGTTGAAGCACCGTTCTCTCCTGGCATGATGGGAATTGGTTGCTGGGGGCCCAAGTCTTGCACTGTACAGAATTATGGTTCAATCACTTGGCAGAAGCCAGTTTCAATGGGACACTGCACAAAGAAACTTCCTTTCTGGAGGCAGCCTGTAGAGAATTGCTCCTGGATATTATTTCTACTCTTACGTTTCAGTGTACAAATGTTTGTCATATTATTCTATGTACTTGGGCTTTTACCTTTTCCTTCCCCAAATTAAAGAAAAAATAAAAGTAAAATCTTCAAAATGGGGCTTTAGAAACATAAAACACAAACACAATAAATTCATGCTGAGAGACACAGAAGGCAGAAAAAAAATACACCATTCTTTCAGCAAATATTTACTAAGTATGCACTATGGCAGGGTCTATTTGGAGCAGTAAGAACATAATAGTGAACAAATTATGGAAGTGATCTATTATATTTACCCAAGTGAGAACAAGATAGAAAGAGATGTGTTTGAGAAGCAACCTGGGAACTTACTGGGAGTGTCAGGACTTGAAGGATAGAAGGAAAGCCACAGAGAATTATGGTACCGGCTAAAAGACAGGAACGGGCCTACATGTTATCTGAGGTGTTTGTAACTCTTCAGAGTTTATAGTACACTTTCACATATATTAGCTCACTCAACTCTTAGAACACTCTTTAGAAGTAGATAGATGTTAACTATTTCTAGACATAAGTGATTTTCTCAAGATTACCTTGACTGTGTGATCGGGAAATCTCCAGGCTCTGCTCCCAATTTCCATCTTTTCACTGTATCTTTCTCTAAAACTCACCTCCCATCTTTGGTTTCAGCCTCTTATATATGATCATTTTACCCCTTTAGTACAAAGGTCATTGTTATTATTACATGAAATACATAATCCACATAGAAATTCAGTCATTTTACTCTCTCTAAATCAAGTACTATATTACAGATCATGAAAAAGCCTAAGATAATATAAAGATTAAAAGTTATTTTACAGATGAGAAAATTCAGCTTTATGCAATAAGCTAATCAGGAGCTGCCAGAATTGTCCCTTTACTGAATTCTTATAAAACTGCTTATCAAACTTCAGTGAAGGAGTCTTTCATAGAAAAGAGCAGATTTATACTAGGGATTTTTTCCCTTTTACAATCTTAGTGAAAAGATATGTGTATCACTAACAAATATATATATATATATATTTGACTTATAAATGACAATTTAAAGACTACTTTACCTCTTAATTTGTATTTTATTGCATTGTAATTATGTGACTTTTTTTTTCTTTTCCAGAGAGATGTGATAGATAGTTTGCTTGGACCAAGGTCAAATCAACCAGCATAAATTGTCATTACTGATATCCTTTCTTGTTGATTGTTTTTTTTTAAAGGAACAATGTTTAATATCTAACAGTCTGATTGGATGCAGTAAGCTGGGATTTTGATTTTAGAAAACAATATTTAATGTATAACTTCTATTTGAACTTAATAGAAATTTAATCAACCTTTATTCCAGAGATATGTTGTTAGTTTTTTATCCAAGCTAATTGTAAGGGTATTGTTGGGATTTTCTTAATTTTTGAAAGATACTCCTACTCCATTTCTTAATCATATTCCAAGTATACATACATACTTATAAAATGTCTATGTATGTTAGAAAATTACTATTCCTTTAGAAGAAAAGCTTGGAGGTTATTAGAATTACTTAAACAAAAATCTTTATTAAATCTAAGTTCTATACACATTTAAATCTTCTGTTTTCCAAGGTTTGTGAATTATGCAGGTGTTAGTATTAAGAAAATACTGGATTCTCATACTCAACTTTAAATCAATATTCATCCTCTTAGATCTGAGAGCTGAGCTATAGAACTTTATTAGACTATTTGACAAGCAAAAGACATGACAGCAAAAGTCAGAATTGCACTGTTTGGCCAGCAGGCATGACACTCGCAGTTCAGGGAGAAGAGTTAGTCTGGGACACATCAGGGCTCCCTCCTCTGCATGCCCAGAATCTGCCCAGACTTAAGTGGGCCCACAGAGAAAACAGAAAGTCCCTGATCTATAGTTTGCATCAGGATGTTATTTTATAATGACTTCTAGGGCAAGCTTGTGGAAATAGAAGGAGTAGGAGGCAGTGACTCCTCCAAACATAGATTGCTAACAGTCTGTTCCATGCTGTTTGTTTCAACAAGTCCTGGTTTTTGTTAACTGAGGCTGAAAGACAGTATGGCCTATAAAGCATGTTACGTGAGGAGGACAAGACAAGGCATTTAAAACTCACTAAACTCTCTAAAAAAGATATATATTAAAACTAAGAATACAATCCGTGCAACAGTGGGAACTACCTTTCACAAGTATCAATTTCTTCAATATCTCCATTTCTTTGGAGCCATCCGTTAAACAAAAGCAAGGAAACTTTTAGGTAGACTGAGATCTTAGGTCATGTTATAAGGAACATACATTTCCTACTGGTAGAAGTCTATTGTAATACATCCCCTTGTCTTTCTGAAAGGTTGGACTTTCCATAGCACCCTGTGCAACAAAATAAAAAATTTCATTGGAAAAAAGTGTTTCTTTTTATTATGTATTTTTGATCATTAAAATAATTTCACATATTCTACTCTCATTGAGCCTAATTGAAAAATAAAGCTATTTTATACTTCCTGGATCCTGGGCAACTGACCCTATTCCATTTTACCTTTCTGAACATCATTCTTGTAGACTCTCCCATACTTTTATGTTAGCATCACACTTTTACTTTAAGATTTTCACTTGAGAGCTATAGAAACTATAGAAGGCATTATTTTGCTGGCTTGCTAGGCTGACTTTGGATTCTCACTAGAAAATTTTAGTTACCATAAAATTTTAGAAAATTAAAAACTTTATTTTCTTGGAGCAGTTTTATGTTTATAACACAATTGAAAGGGAGGTATGGAGATTTCCCATATGCCATCTGCCCTGAGAAATGCATAGCTTCTCCAGTTATCAACATCAACACCAGAGTGTTAAGTTTGTTATAACTGATGAACTTATATGGACATAATAATCACAAAGTCCATAGTTTACTTTAGGGTTCACTTAGTGTTATATATTATATGGGTTTGGGCAAATGTATAATGACATACATTCATTAAGTGCAGTATTATAGAGAGTGTTTTCTCTGCCCTAAAAATAATCTGTGCCATGCCCATTTATCCCTTCCCTCCCCCATCCTGTCTCGATAGTTTTGCCTTTTTGTCTGGATGTACCACAGTTAATTGTCATTCACTTACTGAAGGATATCTCGGTTGCTTCCCAATTTTGGCAATTATGAATGAAGTTCCTATGATACCCATGTACATGTTTTCAACTCCTTTGAGAAAATACCAGTATGATTGCTGGAACCATATGGTAAGAGTATGTTTGGATTTGTAACTCCCAAACTGTCTTCCAAAACTGACTGTGCCAGTTTTCATTTCCACCAGCAATAAATGAAAGCTCAGCATCTACAGCAGGTGCTATGGGGGACAGAGAAGCACATGATTTCAAGGGGCATGTTGGAGTTGCAAGATTTTCACACATGGATAATTGTAGAATATAATAAGTTGGAATTCTGGCAGGTCTAAATAATGTTGGAAGGAAGGACTCTAGCTGTCATTGAGCACTTATGAAGTTCCAGATAGTTTCATGGGCAACATTTCTTTCACTCTTCTGATAAGAATTCTGTGAAGTAAGCACTCTTACCACCACTTACCATTTTACCGAAGGCAAAATTATTCACCCAGGTAGTAAGCAATGTGTCTAGGGAGCAAACCAAGTCTGCCTGCCTTCAAGAACTGAGGTCTTTGTTTATTCTATACTGTGCCTCCGGTAGGAAAAGGGAGATGGTGGATTGCTGTAATAAATGACAGTATTGTGGAGATACGATGAGTGAGGTGAAATGGAATTCTAGTGGGAATTCCAGCAGTAGGAATTGTCTGACCAGAATTTTGGAAATGAACCTACCATGTTCCAGAAATAGTGAGGGGACTGACTTCTCTGAATTTCTTCATTTTTTTTTTTTTTAAATTCAAGTAATTTAGAAGTTTGGTATTCTTTCTGCTAGTCTTATATAAAGTGTGAGGCAGAATTTATTTAAGATTCTATTTTAATAATTGTGTTTATGTCTAATCATAAAAAGTTAAAAAAGGAAAACATGATTACATAATAAATGCTGCCACCTATGATTGTAAAGGTTTCTATTTAGTTTACAATGACTTTAGTAGCCATAGCTGTTTTGGCTCAGTGGATAGAGTCGGCCTGCGGACTGAAGGGTCCTGGATTTGATTCTGATCAAGGGCACATGCCTGGATTGCAGGCTCAATCCCCAGGAAGGGGTGTGCAGGAAGCAGCCAATCAATGGTTCTCTCTCATCATTGTTGTTTCTATCTCTCGCTCCCTCTCTCTTCCTCTCTGAAATTAATAAATATATATATATATATAAATATATATATATATATATATATTTAAAAAGTTAAATAAGTAAAATGACTTTGATAAACAAAAGTAGTTTTTAAAATGACCCATAGTTTTCATATTTTGGTAGGTGAATTTCTTGAAAAATTATGAACTTACCACCTCCACCTTAATATTGAGTGGTTCAGAGTTACTAGATGTTAACAGAAAGAGTAAGGGTTTTTAATCTCAAGAGAGTAAGCATAAATTTACTAGATTTACATAATTTGTCGATCTTTGGAGTAGAAAATCAAAATACACTAGAAAAAGTACATTCAGACTATCTATGACACACACAGCAGTGGAATGGATGCCTGTATAAGGCTCTCTCTTTTTAACACCACTGATGTAATACTATTTATTTAACCTTTCATAGGTTTCAGAGTATTTTTCATATATTATTTACTTGATCAATTACCGGTTTACCAATCAGCATTCATTCATACATGAGTTCTGGGTGCTTGCCAGTGTGCCAAGGTGCTGATGAGTAAGTCTGAACCAAGTTAAAGTGAGAGAGGACTTTGGAAACAACACCCTGATAAAAACAGTGGGCCCCGCTTTTTATTTTCAGGCAAGAGGTTTAAATCTCCAGGGCACACACAGGGTTGTTTTGTGTTGGTGTGTTTTTTGTTCATAGCATGTAACTAATGTCTTTGGAAGCTGCTGGTCGCAGCGCAGAGGTGGCCAGTACAACCCAAGTCAAGCTTTGCCTTGGCTACGATCCAGCTGAGTGACACTGGCTACATCACCCCTCTCTGCACTCGTGTCTCCTCCTCCATAAAATGAGGAGGCTGGCAAGGACTGAGTGCTTCCCAAAATGTCTAATCTCCCTGAAACAAGACCAACATGAAAAAAAAGTGATGTGTAGGATTCAATTTCCTTTCAGAAATCCAATGCTTTGTGCCAAGAGTAGAACTTGGTTGCTGCCTTCCTTATCAGGGTCCGTTAAAGGAAGTGGGGTTTTTGTTTGTTTGTTTGTTTGTTTGTTTTCTCTTTCTCTCTTCCTTTCAGTTGAGAGAGGAAGCTACTTCCAGCTTCCAAAGGAACACGAGGTTTCTGAGGAAAGCACACCGTAAAACCTTGGGCAGGTGGATTCCGCAGCAGAGGAAAGTCTTGGGCGTGGACAGCCACGGTGGGACCTACAGGCTGTGTGCTGCACCAGTGGCTGCTCCATGGCTGACCTGAGTGCTCTTTGCTAAGACGAGAGCAGATGCCCGATGGGTGGCAGCGCTTTAGCACATGGTTAATCACAGTGTGTTACTGCCCAGTGCCCTGACATTATGGAATTTAAATAATAGCTTTTGGGTAGGCAATCTTCCTTTCCTAAAAGTTGTGTATGAAGAATGGTTAAAACCACAATGAAGCCTATTTTCTTCCTTTGCTTAGATGACTGTTTTCAAATTTTCACGAATCCTTTGAAATTTCGAATGCTGTGCAGAATTGCAATAAAAATGCCATAAACAAAGCTTGCTGTGATTTTTCTTACCTTTAAAAAAAACTTTAAAACAATAAACAGAAAATGCCGATGGTAGAAGAACCTAAACAATACAAACCAACTCTTATTTCATCAACTAGAAATAACTATCCACGCTTAGCTTTTGGGTTACTGTATATCACTGAAAATGTACACACTGATTTATTGTTACGTATAAGAAACTACACAAAATGCCTTTCTCAAAGACCCCTAGAGTGCTCAAGAAATGTGCTTAGTATCATGCACTGACATTCTACTTGAGAATAGCTGGGGGCATGTATGTAACCATCAGGCCCCATTAATAGTTAAAGCCCAGAAAATGTTTGAGTAATAAGCTCTTCCTATAGTCTGGGCCACCTTGCTTTTGCCTGTCTTCTGCTGAGATAAAAGGACATTCTATTCTCATTCTGGAAGTAGAGAAACTAAGACCCAGACAGGCAAGGCATTGCAACACAATAGGGTGTTTTCACAGATAAAAAGACAAAGTTTTCACAAAACTGTTTTCATTTCTAACTCTGACAGTCAACGCCTCAGTGGGTTGGAACAATAGTCAGACTCTGTTCATCTGAAGTGCTATTCTGATCAATACTATCGTTTGTATATTTGAAGTCCATCTTCTACATATTGGGTACTCAATTGTGTCAAGGTATTGTGCATGGCATTTGAACATTTTACTTCCTGCCTTTATTGCAGGAAACCCATGAGGGTGGGATAGTACTTCACCGATGTTTTGTAGACAAGGAAATGGAGGCACAGTGGTATTAAATAAACGTGTCCTAAGTCACACAGCTGAGGAGGTGGTGTAATTGGATCCAATTTCAGGCTACTGAACAAAGGCAGTCAAGTCAAACTGGTAGTCGATGTATTCCCTACATTGCCACCAGGGAGTCCTTTTTTAAAAAGTGAGTTTCACTGGAGAATGTCCTTTGATGAGGCAGTAAAATTGATTATATTAAACTTCAACCCTGGTGCACATGCCTTTCAGTATTCTGGGTGGTGAGCCGGAAGACTGCATGGAGCGCTTTTGCAGCATGCTCAAGTGTGATGGTCTGAAGGAAAAGCACTTGTGTGATTGAACTGTGAGCCTCTGACTAGCTGCTTTTCCCATGAAGCACCATGTTATTTTTCTTTAAAGAAGAAGATTGGAAAACTGTGGTTGATCAGATTTGGGTATTTGGAATGAAATGAAACCAGACTTGAAAAAGAACAAAGTGATCCTGTAACGTCAAGAGAAACACGATGATAAAACTGAAGCTTACAAGCAATTTTGGAAAACTTTCATTCATCAACAGGAGCATCAGTAGTGATATTAATGAATTTGATTTTTGCTATTGTGTAATGAAATGTGTCAACATTTGTAAGGTCTGCATAACTAACTCAGTGAACCAGTATTTTCCAAGTATCAGTGCATGATGAAACAAAACCATGAATGGGCACTTTGTGATGTTCGCTGGTAAAAATATAAATAAATAATAAATAAATGTCTTTACATTATATTCTATATAATAAAGAGCTAATATGCTAATTAGACCAAACAGCAGAATGACTGTCCGGATGACCTGCTGGACGAAGACAGGGCTGTGAGGGCCGAGGCAGCTGGGGTTGCAAGGGCTTAGCCCCTTGTACG